ATACAGCCCTTAGGAGGTATAAGCCAAGCTTCATTGCTAAGAAATCAGACCTTGTTATGTCACAAAAATTAGTAAGGATTTTGCTTAAACGTTCTGACTTTATGTGAACATAATGTAAGATTCGAGTGATCACAGTGAAGGAAACACAAGCTCACATTTGGTCAACTGCAATTTATGCATGTGCAACTTTACCTTTCATGACTGACTGTGGCTTAAACCCTTTTACACAGGTGTGAAAAGACTTGATGAATTTTACGCCTACCACAAAGCTTTCATTTTATTCAAGCCTATGAGTCCTAGGAATGTGTTTTCAGTAAATATTACCTGGATGGATTGACAGCTATATTTTCAAAACTAAATCCCACAGAACAGTAGAATATATCTGCTTATCATGGAGGTCAATTGCATCCTGCATTCTTCCAGACCCCCTTTCCCCGAGAATCCGCAAACAACGCTGCTACTAAAGTGGGATTGAATGGCAGAAGGACTCATAAACTGCCTCATTTCCAGTATCAAACCACAACATGACAAGTATATGACTGTTACAAGCGAACATCTTCCCTATTAGCGTTTTTCTTGGGCAGGGGGGGGGGCTCAGTCTTGTTTCACTTTTCAACACCTATGAGCTTTATGCACGATCATCAGTGTGTATGGTGACTATTGTAAAGTTTTTTTCTTTTTTTATATCATCATATGCCATATTTAATCAAAATATGTCCATCTGTTCTTGAGATAACTGGCTGAACGTGAAAATTATCTACACCACTGTAAAAACATACTTAATTGAAACCATGGACACAGGGCACAATTCTACTCGCTAAATTCAACAAGACACCTGGACTGCCTACAGCACGAGCAGCAGTGTACAGTTTATGCTGGAAAGTATACTTTACTAAATTTATACCTGTTGCATCATACAATATGCAGTCACATTCAATATTAACCCCAAACATTTCCTTTTAGTGCATTGAAAATTTCTTCTACTAGATAATAACACCAGAACAACTGGAAAACACACAGAGATTATTTTAATACCAAATGCTCTATAATTAGTATGCAATTTTGAGTGACACCTTAAAGGTATCATTACAGACATTTTTTTTTTTTTTTTTTGGAAGGGAGTATTTTAAATTATTAATCAGTTAACAATTATTCCTGTATTTTCAACTTACAAATTTCGTAAAAGTTTCACCAAGATTTCTCCTCTCTATTCGATAGCACAAACATTAAAATTCTGATTTTTTTCAATTTTTCTGCTAATTGAAGATATATGCGAAAAATCGTCTAATATTAAATAAAAAAACTCTTAATTCAAATTTTGAAAAAAATTCACTTTACCACACTGCACTGTCCTCAACAAGCAGCATGTTTCAGAATTAGAACTAGATAGCTTATCAGGAAGTAGGTAAAAATTTGATGACAAAATACTGACCATATTGAAATATGATGAGAGAACTAAATAAAAGCTTGTAGAAGAAGAAGTCTGTGGGTAATTTATGCTATTAAACTGAAGAGATATGCAATCAGACTTTTAATCTAATTCTTATAGTAAATTTAGGATCATAATTTAAAAATTTCATCTCTACCAATTTTCAAATAAAGAATAGAGTTAATAAATTAGTTTATTTTGATTAATTTATGATCATATGATTCATTATTTCCTTAGAAAAAATTTAATCAAATTATTTTTATCAAAATTTGGTAAAACATACACAGATGATTATGAGGATATTTACAAGATAGAGCAATCAGCAAAACCAGTAACATTTTTTGAAAATGACCAACACGTGCATTTTGCAACAACAGCTGTACATGCATTTTTATGTAATTGTATGTTGGTAAAAACATGTAATTAAAGGAATATATACAGGTAAAATGCTTCAGTGAAGATTGCTGAACCTTTAATAACCTAATTCTGGGTTGGTTATATGATTTTTATCACTCTTAAGGGGACATGTGACATGTCGACTGGCAAAATGCAACTATTTCGAGACGAAAGTTATTAAGGTATAACTTTTCTCAAAATAAACTTATACACATAATTCTTTTTTTCATTTAAAATGCATAGATTACAGATTACAGAAAACACATAAAATATATATTAAATGCCTAATATTTTTAAAAACCAGTTGTTTAATTTCACTTACCTTTGACGAATCTCATCGGACAATGTGCTAGTTCGGTACACTTTTCTTAAAAAGTACTGCACCAATCGTCCTCAAATCGTGCATGGTAGTTAAAAACATATCATTTAAGAATAATAAGTAGTATTTTACATTTTACTTAAAAAGAAAAAATATTAAAAATAAATTAGTAAAATGCTTTGAAAAATCACAAAAAAATTAGTATTAAATTATTAATATATCCAATACTAATGCTCGTAAATTTTATATCCTGCATAGTTTCAAAGAAATAGTAATGATAAACAACTATGGAAAATTGGCACCTTCCAGGTCGAATAGTTTTCAAGAAAAATGTACCGAAAGTTAAGAAAAACACATTTTGAGAAAAACGAAAAAAAAAACATTTTAAAAACTAATAATTTATAAAAAAAATATCATTTTAATATTTTCCTGCACCATAATCATCTTGAATTGACATTTCTACATCAAACTGTTTTTGTTTTATAAATTTATTTTTCTTTCTGGCCATTTTAGAAAGCTTTTGGTAAGCGAGCTGGGCCTCACGAATTCTAAGACAATCTATTTTTCTCAGACTCTTTACCATATAAAACCCTGGTTGCATTCCTAATAATTCCATTACTTTACTCCGGCTTTGTACACCATCATTAAAACATATTATGGCATCGAACAAACCCAATTTTAAGGTGATAATACTCACAAAAACAGTTTTTGGTATGCGTATCCAGATGCAATTATTAAAACTTTCATTGGGGTTTTGAGTTCGTCCGTGTAAGCACTTTGACAGCAGTTTTTTGTCAGACAGACTTCTAAACACATTTTTAATGGCTAGTAAGACAGGTTCTGGCAAAGAATGTTTATGGACATACATTTTACCAGCTGATATGGCTTTATTGTAGCCACACCAAGAATCATCATCTGTAGGGCAAAGACCATGCTGAGGATTTGCGTCTGTGGACAATTTATGGAAATAAATTGCCCACACAGATTTCACCATCTCATCTAATGAAGTATTGATATTGCGACGAATTGCTAAACCGTAATATGTTTGTATTCGCATGATTTCAGCTTCGCTTAAACGCCCACGACCAGAAATCTTCTTGCCATCGGATAGTTTCTCACCCTTTACTTCATTGCAAATAATTTTCAATCTTGAACCCATTCTTTTTTGTACATGGGCAATACACTCTAATTTTTCAATAGTAGTATCAAACCCATAAACGTTTTCTTCACACACTTTTTTGTAGCCTCTTGAATCCCCATCACCTAAGTATTTTACATAACGCACCCCACGTTTAGATTCTGAACGTTGAAAGATTTTCAAAACGCCATCAACTTCCATACCTCCGCTGTACCCTTCAAAGTTCTTCACACATTCATGGGATGCATGCTGCTTGTTTCTGCATAATGGACAATACTTCGTTAGGCACTCTACATCCATAATTTTTCCATTAAAAACAGAGGTGGCACACACAACACCATTCAGTGAAGAATGACCCCTCTTCTGCCAGGTACCATCAAATGCAGCTGGAATGTCAGCATTTCCACTGTTATCTGCAACTGTTTCTTTAACAGCTTTCAACATGGATTCTTCAGCAATTTCTGATAATACAGGTAACAAAATTTTGTTATACTTCTGAAAGTCACTTGGCGGAGGGGGTAAGTTCATAAAGTAACAGCGCAGAATGTCTCTGCAGCTTTCTTCCCTTTACCAATGCAACGCATTGCATAAGTAAGGCGTAAATTAACATCATAGCATCTTTTAGATTTTTTAGATGTCATACTACTCGTAGAATATCCACATGCAGTACACAAATACAGTAAACTTACTGCAAGTCCTCTGCGGGAATTACTTTGGTCTATCACATCAAAAGAATCACATTTCCCACAGTTCTTACATTTTGCAAATGCCTTCAATAAATGCAATAATGTTTCTGTTTCAATTATAAAGTTTCTACTCTTCTGAGACTCTAAAACTCATCTTCGCCATTAACTATGCCGATTTTGTACTCAGATGCACTCATATTTAGGGGAGACTTACTTACATTATGGGTAACATCTTTCACATATGTATGTTGATTTCCGATATATTTTCTCTTCCCGAATGATTTTTTTCTCGGCATTTCCTTATTTAAAACTTTTATTCACTAACGATAACACAATAAAACAATCAAAAATAAACACAGAAAGCACGAATTTAAATGAAAAAGAAGAAATGAAAAGAATAGCGAAACACAAATTAAACAAAGCCAAGTTGTAAATACGAAATTCGACAATTATCCACCACACAGCTTAGTGAATAAGCCAATTTAAAAACGTGTTGCCAAATGTCTTTCAAAGAATCATATTCTGACCAAGGAAGTAATAAAAACTGCTAAAACATCTGTATGTGCAAGTGATAATAAACAACGATAAAACATCTGTCCCTTTAAACTTGTGGGCGTGCCAGTGCTTGTTTACATTTTAAACGAGAGATTTCGCCCTTTTAAAATTTCGAAACATGCATAAATTATATATTTTTGGAATCGTCTGAGTCTACTTTATTTTTGTAGCGCAAAATTGAAAATTTTTATGTCATATGTCCCCTTAAGCAATCAGCACAATTGGCACTCCACATAAATTAAGCATACTATGGATTCAATGCAAAATATACTTTTATTTGCTTCTTGATTGTGAGAACAACTTATGTGGCATTCGCCGAAAAATAATGCAGTAAGTGGCTGCCTACATCTGAAGCAGGTCCTGCCCATAATTTGTTAATAATTAAATAGGTAACTTCAGGTAAAGCAAGCTGTTGTACACATTATGGCACAATCTTACTATTGTTATTCATAAAGGTAATAAATGAAACTAGTCTGATGAAATACAAAAAATACATCTTTATTTTTGGCAGACAAAGGCGAGTTTTGAGGAATACATGAATATTTGGTTTCAACAGGGTTGTTAAATTAATATTTACTGCAATATATCTAACAGTAACTAGAAAACATTTTCTTTAGATAGATAACTAGATTTCTTCATCAGGACTTCAACCACAACAGAACTACAACTCCAATGTTTTAGTCAAAACAGTTTTAATTTTGTGTATGAAAAACAATTCTAATTAAAGAATGCAGTTTTTACCTTTTTCCCTGCAATTTTTTCACAAATAATAATTAACCTGGTGTACATTTTTTAAAAATACTTTAAACTTTTATTATAATTTAAAAAAGAAATTTAAGAATAAAATAGAATTTCCAAAGGATACACTCACATCATACACATTCACACAAACACATACACACTTCTTAAATTCTAAAACACATTTGAATTATGCCTTATTCTCTTGTATTCAAACAGTTTTTAACTTTTTTTTTTACAAGCATGTAACAGGAACATTCATATAGCAATCTAATTAAAAGTAATTCTCTAACTGTTAAATTTTTTACAAGGTCACTTTTAAAACTTTGATTAAATTATTTAACTAAAAATAATTTAAAACAGTATCAGAATCCTGTGCATAGTATATAATTTACATTATGAGTAAAAACATGACAGATTACAAATGGCAAGATCATCATCACCTGAGACAAAATAATAAGCATCTAAAATTAGTTTAGAGTTTTGAAAGTCACAAATTTTGTGTGAAAACTCATTCATTGCAACATTGTAATTCTCATAAAAATAGGTTTTCAAAGGCACACTTTGCATTTTTCCACATCATATAGCAAGGCTACATTTTAACTACAAGTAGGTCACAAAATCCTAACACAGCTTCTAGAATATACAAGGTATAGAATAACTGGAGGATACAGGACATGCAAAACATAATTTACTACAGAAATTTTCACATAAATTCGACTTTAATTTTAATTAAAAAAAATAGTATACTTTTCTGGTATAACATTAAAACAGTTATACATTTCACCACCACTTGCTTATACAGGCACAAGTAAAAAACTTTTATTGCACAAGTGCTATGATGAAAGATCACTGTATGTCGATGTTGTGTCTTTTTCAATGAAGTTTTCATTTAAAAAACAAAGTGAAGAATTTAAGACCCTTTTTTTATAAACATAGCTGCCTAATGTAATTTAAACATATCACATGAAATGGAATAAACAGAAATAAAGAACAAGAAGCATTTAGTATATAGTGAAATTACACTATGTGCCTCTGATAAAATTGTTTCAATTTATATTTGCCAGTGACAATCCATAAACATGACAATTTTAATCATAGACTGAAATTACTATTTCTAATTTAGTCTAAAAACACTGAAAAGATCTTTCTGTACTAATTGTTTGTTTGTTGTAATTGTACTGTTTCTAATGTTAATTTTGTTTACAATTTTGTACTGTATATAAGAAATGCACAAAAAGGAATATGCTATAGATTTTTAATGTTGTAAATCAGATTGTAAAAAACCCAACAATCTTAAAAAAATAGGAAAAATTACAATTATAAATAGGAAAAAAAAAGTAACCATAAAGAAGAATGAAATGCCATTACTATCCTTTCAACACATATTCCTCAGATGAATTTAAATAACAATAATTATTAGAAATGTAATTTCATTATACAGCACTCCTTGTTCCTGAAGAATTACATAACCAATGAAATCAAATTAATTTTCTTTAGCCTTCATTCTTTTAAAATATGGTTTTTCTATTTACAAGAGTTTCTCATAACAATCAAAACTGAATCGAGCACAGAAAATGTATAATGTTTTCAGTGAAAACAAGCAGAATATGTAGCATTATGTTACAAGGATGGCTATAGTTATTTATATTTCGATGATAGTTTATAAACAGTCTATTTTAAAGTTTTAAACATGTACAAACAAATTTAAATTCTGAAAATGTAAAGCCAGAAACAGACACTTTATTATTACATAGAATGTGACATTTTAACATAAAAATGTACTATTTGACTTGAATGTGTAAACATATTATTACATATATACATCACAGAGCTTGAACATACTTTTTGCTAATGTTTAAACTACTCTATGTACAAATGTTACAATCTTGTAGAATTTAGTGTTGTTTAACCAAATTTCTTAACACTGCAGCATATAAAAAGTGTATACAACCAAAAGACTTAAAAAGGCAATACACAAACACACATAAACACTATAAATGCCTTTTATGTTGTCATTCAAATAAAATGCTATAAATAATATAAGAGAAAACATATACTAACAATTTTTAAAAAAATCTTCAATATATATATTACAATGCAGACGATAAAGTATTGCAGCATTTGCCAGAATAATGTAATGTATGTGCACCAACTAATCACAGCAGTGTACAGGGAAAAAAAAAAAAACATTCTATGGTCAGAGAGATACAATTAATAAAAATGAGTGGTATGACAATTTTGAACTTCAGTATTAATATTAAAGTGCTAGTGTATACTGCTTTTAATTAAGACCATTAAAAACAAATACCTAAAATTCAAATTTAAATACAGTAATGAAAAATTTATTAGGTTGTATTTTTTTTATCAGAGTTTGAACTTGAAGTCACTTTAAATATCTTCATAACAATAGCTTACTTTTGTTAAAATGTCCAACAGCAGAGATTTGATAAATTGAATTTGATGATGTGACAAATGAATTTTTACATTCTGAGATATTTCAATACAGTATATCTTATCTTTACCAGCATCTTAAGAATTATATTCTTTAGGAATAAAATTCTTCTTATATTAATGAATATGGCTTTGTACAAAATGAGATGTCAGGAAGTGATCCTGTAGCATTTTGATCCCTTGTTTCTTGCAGAAAATACCTTATAAATTAAGGCTATAACATCAGGGGGGAAAAAAAGAAATGATGGTTGATAGAAAATTAGCGATGCTCATAGCCCCACGTAGTATAATAGTCTTGTGACATGTTATCAGATGCCATTCGAGAATTGGGGCCTCCTATGTGGCCATTTGGTGTCAGCAAAGGTGGATGGTGCTGAGGAAAAGTATTTACAGTTGCAGCCACCGAACTTGCAGCATCAACTAAAAACAAAAGATTAAATTTATTAAAAAAATTGAAATTATTTTACAACATTGGCACAATTAATGAAGAATGAGTCAGAGGTACTTTGGTATACATCCTATTTTGATGCAAGAATTTTTGTTTAGTACAGGATATCTTTTAGAATCTGACTCAAATGAGCCATGACTGCATGCATGACCCCTGTTAACACTGTTACAATTGCACATGAGCATCAGTATGACTGTTCCTAGTTTTCCAGTAAACAACCTATAACTCTGAATTTTCTGTGTTTTTTCATAAAATTCATGTACAGTGAGTTTTAAGAAGGTTAATGAAATGAGTGAAACAATAAAGAAAGCAATTAGGTTCATGAGATTAACTGAAGCAATAAAGAAAACCATTAGGTTCACTAGAAGATCACCATACATATCCAAGTTCTGACTGTTGTAAAACAAAATTACTATTAATTTGGCTAATGCTCGAATGAGTGAAACCGATTATTAAACAGAGATCAGACACATCAGAGCATGTCAAGAAACTGCTTTTGTATGGATAACAAGGAAAAAAAAAAAAAAAAAATTAAATACAGTATTTCATCTATGTACGGCACTATTTTACCAATTTCATTTGTTTTTCAGTATTAAACAATAATATAATTACAATAACAGGCGTTTTGCATACGAATAGATAAATTATTTTCAGGGCTGTGGAGTCGGACAGATTTTGAGGTAAAAGGAGTTGGAGCTGGAGTTGCTAAAAACAGGTCGACTTTGACTCCAGTTTTTGTTGGAAAGTTTGAATTTGAAATGAAATTAAAATGAATTGAAAAAACATTAATGACAAGCTGAGTTATTATTATTATTATTTATGGACTATATACATTAATAATTAGATATTTTCTATTTTATTGACGTATTAATAAATAAATGTAAGGGAGGAGGATGGATGTGATATTTACCATTAGTGATTAAACTGATTCATTTAGTTACAAATATCACTGGTAAATTTAGGTAAGCAGCAATAGCAGCAAGAACTCCATAATTTGATGTCATTCTTAAGAAGCGAGCACAAAAAGGAGCAATTATTAATCCAGCAAACTCGATACAGAAGTACATATTTGATGATAAAGAGGTTGTTAGAATTTAAGAACTTTTTTAGAAGATGTAGATAACCCTAATATTTCACTAACAGAAAGACTGTGGAATGATCTTACAAAATTGGACACTTTTCTTTCTACACCATATATAGCCACAAAAAAGCTGCAATCTGAAGAATTGACAGGAAGCAAGAATGGAAGAATGTGATATTTGTTCTTTCTGAAATGGAAGGGTTTTTGCCGAAGGAATTGTTTCTTCAATGAAGAAAAGAGAAACTAGTTTGCTAGACAATGAGATCTTACTGGGTTCAATATATTTAGATCCGAAACACCAAATTTTCTTGGATGAGGAACAAATTAAAAAGGCAAAGAAAGCTATCTATGAACTTTCATTAAGAGAATTTGAATCAGGACAGTCAAACTGCAGACATCGTAATTGAGTCTCATCATGCTCTTCCAAAGATGAATTAGATTTTGAGAAACATTTTTGGATAATATTGAAAAATCTAAGGCAAAGCGAATGAAAATAAAGAACCTTTAGATATAAAAATGAAAAAATACAAACAAGATTTCTACATGGCCTTTGAAAAAAATGGAGAAATATGATTGCGCTTGCAAGACATCTCTTTTAGAACTTACAAAAATTCTATCCTGAAAAGTTAAAAGAAGTAGCTTTAACAGTAAAAGCTCTACCTCCTACTCAAGTTAGTGTGGAAAGACTCTTCTCAGCTCTGAAGTTTATTAAACTGAATCTATGGCCCTCCAACAAAGAAGGTCTTGCCGAAGCTATATTGTTTCTTAGAAATAACTAATGCCAGTTTTTCCATTTCATAATAAATGCTAATTAATATAAATAATTTGCAATGCCATCAATTTTTTTCCTGTAACATCTACTACTTCTTTTATATTAAAAAATAAGCTGTAACCCAGGTGTATATGTTTACATACGAGGGCCATCCAGGAAGTAGATTACGTTTCCATCTGTGTCCGCTAGGGGCGGGGCTAGCGCGGTCATCTTGGGGTCAGAGCGTTGCGCAGCTCAGTCTGCATCTAGCCGTGCTAGTGAGAGGTTCGTGCTGTGCTCCGTTCAGATACTGTGACGGTTTGAAATGTCTGCGTTAATTGAAAATCCTGCGAGCTGCGAGGTGCGCTCAGTAATAAGGTTTCTGACTGCAAAAAACTGTAAACTGATAGAAATCTATAGGCAGCTTCGTGAAGTGTATGGGGACAACATTATCACTGAAGGTGGAGTGCGTCAGTGGGTCATAAGATTTCAAAATGGCCGAACCAATGTTCACGACGAAGATCGAAGTGGGAGACCCAGCATAGTGACCACCGAACTTCTCGAAAAAGTCGATGCTAAAGTCCGTGAAAATCAAAATTTCACAATAACGGAACTTTCTTTGAGTTTTCCACAAATTTCGCGAAGTTTGTTGCACGAAATCTTCAGCGAAAAGCTTGGTTACCACAAGTTTTGTGCAAGATGGATTCCAAAAATCTTGACAGAGGACCACAAAAATCAGCGAATGGCTGCAGCGTTGAACTTTTTGGACGCTTACCATAAGGATGGTGACTCTTTAATCGATCACATCGTTACTGGTGACGAAACATGGGTGAAACATGTGAACTGTGAAATGAAATTGCAATCAATGCAGTGGGGGCACACAAGTTCTCCCCAAAAACGCAAGAAATGCATGCAAACAATGTCGGCAAGGAAGATGATGGCGACTGTTTTTTGGGACAGAAAAGGTGTAATTTTGGTGGACTTCCTGGAAAGAGGCACTACAATAAACTCTCAAAGGTATTGCCAAACTCTCCAAAAACTCAGAAGAGCAATTCAAAACAAGCGCAGAGGAATGTTGAGCTCTAAGATCTTGTTGATTCACGACAACGCCCGGCCCCACACAAAAATGTCACTCGTAAAGTTCTTGAATCTTTTAAGTGGGAGTTGTTTCCTCATCCGCCGTACAGTCCCGACCTGGCACCGAGCGACTTCCACCTATTCCCAGCAATGAAGAAGTGGCTGGCTATGCAGCGTTTTGATGATGACGCACAGCTGCAAGAAGAGGTAACGAAGTGGTTGAAGGCGCAGGCGGCCGAATTTTTCGACGAAGGAATTTCCAAGCTCGTACATCGCTACGATAAATGCCTTAATTTGTATGGTGACTATGTAGAAAAGTAGTATTTGAGTGTGGCTTTCATCTGTATATAATAAAATTTGTTTCCTATACTTTGTTTATTTTTTTATTCCAAAACGTAATCTACTTTCTGGATAGCCCTCGTATATATATGAGGGAGTCGGAGTTGGTCATTTTCCCTACCAACTCCACAGCCCTGATTATTTTCCCCTCATTTTTTACTGGAAAGTTTGTTTGGCACATGACCAGTCTGGTATCAGTCCAAGGATATGAAACAGATCAATAAACATATACCAAGGTACCACTGTATTTCAAAATTTTACTTTGCATTTTCTTCTTCTAACACATGGATCTCTGTTAGTAACAATGTTTACAGGTACAACTGAAAAGTCTTTTCCTAGTTAGCAAAAGTATGATTAAAACTTTTAAATAGCAACCCAAGAAATTTCATTCATTATGGCATCTCTAGTTGTAAATCATGCATATCAATACCCATTTCTATAATGCTCTAAAATAAAAAGATTTATTTAAAAAAATACAGGTTTAAGAGCACAAGTATTACGAAAAGTAAACAAAATATTTTTTCCTAAAATCTTGAGAATAGTTATAAGTGAATTAAAAATTGATTAATTTATGTATTCTCAAATTTTAAGCCTTCAAGCAGTCTGGAATTACAAAATTATCATTTGCCATGGCACAAACTGTAAACAGAATTTCATAAATAATTGAAGAATTCATCTTTTACTTTTGTGATTTATTCAAAGAATCATGTCCTCCAAGACAGTAAAAAAAGCTTACAAAAGCTACTATTCATATCATTTAATAATATAAATTAATTGAGAAATATATATAATGTATTTAAAATATTCATTTTAATTCTAAATTGGGAAACAGCTTTTCTATGAGTCATGCTTACTTACTACAATTAGAAGTTTTGAACACTACATAACACTAGAAATACTTCTAGAATAACTAAAATTTGTTTATTGAACAGCTAGGCATAAAGTTATTTAAAAAAATTATTACTACATAATATGCTTTACATCAAATAACCATACAGTAAGCACTTACTTGTCTGCTGAGGAATGTGATTTCCTCTCTTTACCAACAGTCTCACAGTATTACCACCTTGTCGTATTAATTCTATTGCATCTGCATGGGTCATATTTTTTGTATTCTTGCCATTTATTTCTATTATTTGATCTCCAACCTACAGATAGAAATGAATGAATATTTAAAATTTACTCAAATTAAATGCATCTCGCATCATTTTTTAAAAATGGAAAAACAGCCTATAAATTCTATAACAGAAGATACAGATCAGATGCTGAAATACCTCCACAATAAATATTTAGCCCACCTTACAAATAGGAGAATTATCAGCAAAGTAGAGGTAATTTCCTGCAGCATATCAAATGCATTGCCATTTGATACAGCAAAAAATTTAAAACTTGCAAATTTATGCTATTACTGTAAGTACTGTATAATTCACACATTTAATGCAAAAAAATGAGATCAAAATTTACAAGTGTGCATCATATGCTGGATATAAAAATAACAGATTTAAAAACAAGGAAAAGATCAGCATACAAAAATTTGATTTCTAAATGTACCCAAGTGCTGCTTCTGGAGATTTTCTAGGACCCAGTTCGCAATGTTTGCTTCTAGAATAGGCCATTTAGTTACTCCTTCCTGCATTATCACTCAAATATGGAGCATTCACCAATACCAAACATCCTTGCTGCAGCACGATTTCCATTTTCTTTCGCAAATTGAATGACTTAGCATTTGAAACCAGCAATTGTTTTGTTTGGCAGGAGCAATATTTACTACTAAAAGGGATACTAAATCAACTGAATTTCAGCTAAAGGAAATGCAATTTACTAAATTCTTCGATGTTCACTTCGAAATAACGGCTTCAAATGACCACAAAAAAATCAGACTTCTAATTTCGCCAATTCATTCGGGTCGGAAGTACATTCGTATCCCACATCATTTTCTTGCTTTTCGTAAAACCCTAAAATACCATTCTTGTGCACATCTGGATTGAATACAACCCACTCTCTTTGCAAAATATCTACTCCCTCAAGCATTCCCCCCCTCCCCATATATTGTATTGTGCTCCTTATCCCTTGTCAAACTGGTATACCATTGCTTGAAAGCCTGCGAACAATAAATTACAAATTGATGAGATCAAGTCATAAGCATGATATATTTAACAACATTTATATGATTCATCTACAAAGATAAATAAATACTTGTAGAAGGTTCTGCAAAGAATTACATATGTAGAGGTAAGATGTAATAACCTGGCAATTCCAGTATTTTCGGCACCTCAGCAATCAGTACTGATAACATATTAATTCATAGCAAAATACATTTAAATCTCTCTCTCTATATATATACATAATATGGAAACACATAAATAAATTTAACATATTAATAATTCAGAGCAATTTTTATGTAAAACTGGCACTTCAAGCAGCTGCATACGCTATCTACATTTACAGCCAGTCCTGGTAAAAAGTTATCATAGCAAAGCATTCAAATATGTGTTTACTTTTATTTTTTTTATCCAATGGAGGGCACTTGCCTATTCAGTATTGGCCTATTCTAAGGCCATTTTATTGTGAAAGTACCTAACAGGTGGCCACTGTGACCAACACAATCACACTGTGATTTAAATTTGTAATAATATGGTAATTATACTTCAAATTTAACCCCTTAAGGCACACATTAATTTCTAATTTTCGGTCAAAAAATCACCTATTTTTTTCCTTGCATAATCATATTCTCTAGTGCATTTTAAGACATGATCGACAAATAAAAGTAATTTTTAACTAAAAATTTAATTAAAAAATCTTATTTTTAATTTTGGAATAATTTCACTTAAAGTTGTCTTTTGTTATGCTCCTTTGTATTAGAAAGCATTAGAAATAAAATAACGCGAGATACAAGGGCGCCCGTGTGAGATACGGGCATATGCAAATTTGCCGGAAACTTTCACCCGTGTGAGACACGGGCAAATGCGTTAAGGGGTTAAGCAGGTTAATATGAAGTTCTATATACTAAGAAACATCATAATTTATGTAACAGTGTGATCATTTTAAAAGATATATAAACAAGTAGTATAAACTGAAAAATTAAAAATCCTTACCAAAAGCTTGCCGTCTTGGTGAGCAGGTCCATTTTCAGCAATTCTCAACACAAACAATGGCATGTTTTGAAATTCTTTACCACCTCGAATACTGAAGCCAAAACCTCTAGTACCTCTGTGAAGCTCTATAGCATGATACTGATCATCCAGTTCCACAAAGTTCTCTTCCCTCTGTGAAGCTGATGTTGTGCTAGATGTATCATCTTGTGGAGGACCAACAGTCAGAGTGACAGAGTATCCAGAGTCTTTTATAAGATTTACTATGTCTCTATGATGCATATTTAAAATACTAATGCCATTCACAGCTAAAATTCTGTCACCAACGTGTAACTGGCCACACCTATCAGCAGGACTACCTTCAATTATTCTCCCTAAAAACATATCGCAGGGCAAGGTCAATTACATTTGTATTAACACATTGTAAAAAGTAAATTAAAATGCAAGGTTTTTTTTTATTATTAACATGGTAAAGGTATGGAATACAAATTCTATAAACATTAGTTTAATTTACCAATAGTTGATCCAGCTCTACTAACTGAAGATATTATGACAAAACCAAATCCTTCGTTTTCTTGCCGTGATACTGTAACATCATAAGGATAGATACTTTCCATAGATCTAGTATGATATGCAGAATCTAGGGAAGACAAATGTGCCCCTATTAATATTTATACCAAATAATAGGACTAAAATCAAACACAAAAAAGAAACAAAAAAGGTACCAATTTTTGAGGATAAAAGCACGTCATAAAAATTTAAATGAGTTAAATTACGTGTCACCCTCAAATGATGTGCAATTTAACTTGTAATTATTTTTATTTACTTTCTATTTTTGAGATTAAGGCATGGAAAAACAAGTACAGTAATTTCGGGTAGATAAGCCACGGCTTATATATGTACGAATGACAGGGTTGCCACTCAAACAGGAGAATGAAATTCCCTGACTTTTCCAGGTTTTCCAGGTGTGTTTCAAGAAAATTCCAGTCTATCCGCATAATGTACGTTGGCTGTGCTAAGAGGTAAATTAATTATGGTATTACTTGTATTGTGTAGCAAATTTTCTTAATTATTCAATAAATCCCAGAGGACATTTATTCTTAATTATTCTTGGTATACTTTGTTTGATAATTTTGTTTAGTTTTCCACTTAAGAAACTTAATAAAATTTCTCATTCAATGAGAAAAGCTCCATATGTGGAGGCTGCCTTATGGGTCGATAAAGCACGGCAATCAGACTGAGCTGATATGATCATATCAACTTTCATTAAATCAAAAACCATCAAAAAAGAAAATAAAAGTGAAGATAGCAACGCTGAAGGAAGTGATCTAGAACAGAATGATGAATTGACCTTGATGGTTATTTGTTAAATTTATTTAATTCTGACATTGATGAGTCAGATTTTGAAGGTTTTGTATAAATAAATGTAGTTTAATTTAAAAAAATTCTGCTTGTTTATCTAATTTACATATTCTTTTTCATAATGTGGAAATTTATGGTGATAAACGAAGTTTACTGAATCCATAGAAATAATATCTATTAGAAATCTTCACAGTTCATTTTCAGAAGTTCAAGATAAGATGTTTCTTCCTTATTTATTTATATATTACCGATTATATTTATGTTGTAAACATTATAAAATGTTATTGATGAAGATTACATCAATATGGCAGGGAATTACTGAATAGAATATTAAGTGCCATGCTTCATAATGCTTTGTTGCGGCTTATATGGCGGTGCAGCTTATTCAATGAACTTTAATTTTTTTAAGTCAATTATGATGTGTGTGGTGAATATGCCACCAGGGTGGCTTATCTACCCAAAATTACAGTAAACATCCAAGATTATTAAAAAAAAGAGAGGGAACAAACCTACATTATTTTCATTGCTTTAAAATTATAGGACATTCAGGAGGAATCCAGAAAAGATGCTAATTACAAATTGATTGAAAGATAAATATCATTGTTGTGTTGGTAGGTAGTGACTTTGAGCTATTTACTGATGGTATTAGCACATCCGTATCATGCATATTAAATACATAAAATACTATAACAGTAATGACTTTACAACAATACATTAAGTGCTGGTAAGTTATAATATTTTCATTACGTGAAGGAATGACACCTATACACCACATTCTCATCAAATATGTATAGGTATTCTCCTGAATTCATTTAAAAGTATGCTCTCTCATTTTATAAATATACATGTTGTGAAAGGGATTGTTACAGTTGGTATTTTCAGTATTAGAAAGATTTATCAAAACTTCTCAAAAACAATTACCAGTGAACGTAGACCTGGTCTTACTGCATTTAAAAATTCATAATTCTAATGATCTGACTAATCTGGTGCCAAATTTCAGTGCAAATAAAATTATTTCCCCCCCTCCTTATATTGATTTTAAAAGGCTCCTTTTAAAGATTTTACTTCCCAGGTTTGACATATGTAGTTTCAATTTATGACATGTTTATAGCAATATTAATACACATACATACTGTTATGAAATGCACAGTTGCAGTAAGATAACTTCCACACAAAGCATGGTTAGGGTTGCCAGGTTTGGCACGAAACAGTCCATCTGGCAATATGGCACAGAGACATTCTAGCAAAAGCTGTACTTTAGTGCTTTGCCGTGAAGCTGTCTTCACAGTCATAGCCTGAAGGCCTTACTGATGATGTTTCAATGTGTTTATCACAGCTTTTCGACAACTGTAAAAGTGTCTTCAGAACTTTCTTGTGTAATACACGGGCGAATAAATTGTGTTTTGATTATTCCTCAAGTGTCGTCACCAAGCACTCCAAATCCACAAACCCGTAGATCGCAACAATATAAAAAGCTGATGTGTGCACCCTGGGGCATAGCTAGAGGGGGGCATCTGTCCCCGGGCGCAGAATCCAAGGGGTGCCAAACTGATGTTACGACATTTTAGAATTAAATGTTTTCCATCCTTGGCAAGCAGTAGGGGGCACGAAATCTTCAGTTGTCCCTGGGCTGAAAACCCTAGCTATGACTCTGTGTGCACGACATGACTTCCTTGTATAGAATATTAAGTTAAATACATTTTCCCCTGCATTTCATTAGAGTAATATTTAATATTTCTCATTCAATTAATTCAGTTCTCACTTTGTGGCAAGGCAAAAATACACAAAAACTCAAAATATTTTCATTAAAATTTGAAAGATATAGAAAATTATAAACACCAAACACAGTTGAAACAATTAAAAAAAATTTTTTTTTTACAATTAAAATTACAGTTTCTACGCAAGAACAAGCAATTACGCCAGCAGGCATGAAGGCAAATTTTTCAGGGCACGAAACATTTCCTTTTGGTTCCACTAGCCAGAAAGACACTTGCAGAAAGTTTTAAGTCAGTATTCTGCTAAGTCTCAAACGTTAACAAATATGCTGCTCTGGTGAAAAAAATCAGGCTTACTTGTACTTAAACAACTTTTAAATTGTTGATAATTCTACACCTATTGCATGCAGATTAATTAAAGGCATAAAAACCTTTACCGGAAGATAAGAACAACATAATTCAGTCATTTTTAAAGCAAAAAAATACATAATTTACCAACAAATAATAATAATAATAATAAAACTGAGCTCACAAAGCTGAGTAACAGAATAGGTGTATATATATATATATTTACTTTTGGTGTGGCCGATTGCAACCAAAAAGGGAGGTGAACAACTACATGTTATACCAGTTCTACATACAAAATTTCAACATTCTGAGACTACTTGTTTTTGGGTCACACAAGATACATACGTACGTACAGATGCCACGAAACAACCTCTTCTGAATCCATTTTAAATCAGTTTTAAAATTGGTTTGGGCAAAAAGAGTCCTTTATTTGTTCTTACATACAGATATCACACAAAAATATCGTTAAACTGCATTCGACAGTGGTCAAAATGGTTATTTTTCTCGAAATATGGTACCCAGAAGTTTTAGCGATTAACAATACAATACTTCCTTTACTTCATACAAGGAACTAAAAAGACCAATATGGAACACATATTTTTAATTACGAAGAAAATACAAACCAACAGAAGATACTCCTCGACGAAGCCCTAGAGTAACCCTGCCATTTGCAGCTGCATTTCCCATCAGCTGAACAACTCGGTGATGAGATGTATTGAGAACAATCTGATTATCCACAGAAATGATTTCATCACCAGAGCGTAATCTACCATCTAAATCTGCTGCTCCTCCAGGCACTATATGACCAATAGATACCTAAATTGGGAAAAAAATCTGTTACAACATTAACTTTTGAAAATCAATAAACAACAATTCCATCATATTTTTACAGGCTTACTATTTAAAGGACAAAATATATTTTTAACATATTTAAATTTCCCATGCAACATATATAATTTTATTAAAATTTATCACAGTGTTCTTAAGTTCTACAATTTCCAAGTTATGGATCACATGTATTCTTAATAATTCATGCGACAGAGAAAATGCTACAAATTTTATATTCACACATGCAAACTTTCTTGTTCCTCAGATAGAAAACACTAGTTCTATTTTCAAAAAAGATAAGTTTACAACTTAAAGTGGTGTGAGTGTTTTAGAATAAGTAAATCCAACATTATGCAACATTTAAATGTACATCAAGTTTGGTTTATACGATTATAGCAAAGACTTGAGGGCTATCTGCCAAAGGAAAAGGATGTCTTCGTGGAGGACTTTCTAAGGGAAACTAGCTTGTACACACGTTATGTTACACACGAGTAAAACCACAAAAACACCCATGCAGCCAGCCCGTTCGTGGAATTCGAAACTCAAACCAAACTACCCGTGATTAGCAACTTTTGCACTTAGCCGCTGGTGGGCCAAATATAGATCAAGATAGTAAAAGTAAAGGTGATATTTAAGAACATTGGCTGCCTATGTAAAGACAAGAGCCTACGATGAATGAACATTTTTAAGGAACCAAAGCAGAAAGTTCAAGAGTTTTTCAAGTAGTTAACAAAAATAAACAATCGGCCTAGCAGCAAATGCAGTATTTTGCAGCCAATCATTTACAAGATTCTGCAGTAGCAATTACAATTAAATCACAGCTTCTTCCTGTTGATAGAAGAATCATAGTGCATCTGTAATACTTGCATATTTAAAGAACCAATCCTCAAAATTTTAGATCCTACCATGCTTTAGTGTTACTAAATGATATAAGATACAGCTATATACTTATATAGCCTTATTAGTCATGCTTACTAAATGATACTAGTAACATAACATTTCTAGCTTTTAAAAAATTATCAATACAGACATCAAAGAGAAAATACTACATAACAGGAATTTCTTTTTAATATTTTCAATATTATTTTTAGCATATTATTAAAGAGTATTTTTAAAGTGTGAGTAAGTTAATTTTTAAATTCTGAATTTAATAACCTCTAAACAATTTTTTTGTTTTTTGGTTTCAGTATGCAAATTGAAAAGAATTAGAGAGAAAAATCCCATGCATAGAAATTCAAACATAAAGGGGGGGACACCACAAAATGTGCATTGATAGTTAAGGCTACACAAGAAGATACAGATCCATACTATCTTTCAATAGATATATATCTTTCAATGTCTGGGGTGCCTGCATCCATCCATCTATGTGGGGAAATATATCAGTATTGTGCCACTATTATCACTATTGCGTCAGATACACGTCTTCATAGCCTGCATCAGAAGTTGTGATCATTGACTGTGGATACTGAATCAGCATTTAGCTTAGGAAGTAACATATGCCAAAATTTGGAGTTTTTGTTATTATGTTTAAAAATTTAATTTATAATGCAACATTTATCTTGGATCATAGCTTCTGATGGATTTCTTAATGAATAAGAATACCTTTTCACATTTACACAAGTGACTTGTTATGGTAAGTTACACAGCAGTGTATTTTTTAACCACATTTGTTATCATTAACTAAAAATCTGCTACAATATAGTTTCCTATGTAATAGGATTATTATGTTTTTATGTTCTGAAAAGTGTGTTAAACAAGAAAAGCTTAATTTATCATCTGTTTGCATTTGATTTTATTTCCATTTTCTATTCTGAGTAAATTTTATTTTTGTATTTTGCATTTCTCTGCTAGTTTCAGCCTCCTATAAAGCTTCCTGTTTATCATTTCTGTTATTATTATTACAATTTATTTAAAAAAATTAGCCTTGAAAATTAAAGGCATTGAAAACTCTTTCAAATTATTATGTTTGTTGCAAGATTAACAGAGGATTCCTATTGGTAGTGAATCATGTCATCTGCTTTTAGTTTTCTAATTTGCTTAGTAGCTCAGAGCAACTTAAAAACAAAATTTCCCTGTGTTGACGAAATGCTGTCAGGTGACTAGTCTACAAGGAAGGACCATATCTGTCACCTTATGTACATGGGCCTTAATCAATTTTTAAACAAGGAAATTGAAAAGTAAAAGTTAAAAAAGTTTTCTCGTTCATTAATGCATGCAAAGTCGATATCAGGCATTTTGGCACCTTGTAAAATCAATTTCTAGGTTCTAAATTCTGTTACCTGGGCTCTCCTAAATTCTTAAAGTTTTGCCAAACTAATTGCAGCTACCTTCAGTGCACATGCAGTTTCTGACACACAATCATACAGATATGAATAGTTATTAGTGTTATAGTGTTAAACAGTTTCAAAACTTAATCAGGTTAATTAACTATCAGCTATTTTCAATCTGACAGACTTATTTAATTCATTAGAAGCATGACTGAATTTGCATTTCAGATTACATTAGAAAGGAAACAATTGTTATTTTTTTATTATAGTTTAATATCAAAATTTAAATGACTAAATTTTTAATTGGAGGAGTCTTATTAGGACTCAACTACATAAATACTAAAATGTAACAAGAAGAATTCTTTTTAGAAATGTATTCATTCGGAATTAATAAAAAATTGCATCTTTATTAAGGAATATTCACACCATGGCATAATTGTCACTATCACCTAATGTGGAACTCCACTGCTATACAATGGTCCTTTGCCACCCCATGGAAGACGATACAAGGAATTTGGTCATAAAGTTCTAACCTATCCAATTTATGCCAAAAGTATAAAGGATAGAAATGCACACTAATCATAGCAAAATTTGCAATGCCATTTAAAATTTTTGTAAAGCATTAAAATTTGGTGTATATGTTAGGCTTAAGAAAAGCGCAATTTGAAAATAACAAAATGTGACAAATTTTGATATTTTATTTCATTAAAATAAAAGAACTGTCTAACATCTTGCAGTGGCAACATTGCATTTTTTCACAAGATATGACCCAATGAGAGAGAGATAAAAATTGATAATAAACCAATGTGTGTACACATGCCACAGTTCAGAGTCTAAAAATTCTGGGTGAAATAAACTTTGCTGCAGGCTGTATTAAACCTCAAAAGGAATAAAAACTACTATTTCAATGATATTTAAGCTACAGCATCTTTAAATGATACATGCTGAACAAAAAGTTCATTGTTAAAATGGTTAAAAATGGCTTTTATCAAACACTAGATAGATGAGTCTGAATATAGTCAGATACTAGCATAATATTTTCCAATAGAACCATAGTAAATGAAATAAATTGAGATAAATTATCATCAATAAATGATAAATATATTCATCTATAATAGATTAAATATTACAGCATTTAGATAATGCTACAAGTATTTAATCTATTGTCATATTACCTGAGAGCCTTCTTCCGTACCACCAACAATTCTGAATCCGAAACCGCTTTCTTGCCGTGTAAGTGTTACAGTCATGTCAACATATTCAGGTACTCGTCCCAACATAGGTGGTCTTAATACTGTTCCAGGTTGCTGGTAAACTGAGTTCATTGAATATATATTTTCTGCTTTATTCATGGCAGTTACGGGAGATGGATGTTCATGCTCAAAAGATGTACTTCTTTTCCTCCTTGTTAAACTATCATAATGTGAACTACTTGGCGAATGTCCAGATGGATTCATAGATGATGTAGAAAGGGTGCGATAAGTTGGTTCATGATGAGTTAATGGTTCATTAGGACAATTAGGTCCGGATATCGGCCCATAATGAATGGGAGGTTGACTATATGGACCGTTGCTACGCATAGAGTTCGTTCTCCTATAAGACTGTTCATTTGGAAGCCCTTGGTGATGAACACCCCCATTCCAGTCAATTCCGTAATCTCTAGCTGATGTATTATCAGGCGTAGCTTTGGTATTCCATGAATGATTAGCAAACACAAACACACTATCCTCAAACGAGTCATTGAAATTTGTTCTTGAATGTGGTGGCACAGGTGGGGGCAATTTAGACTGAGAATAACTATACTGAGAATTAGGACCATTGTCTAATACTTCAGAAGAATGGTTCACTGTGCTGAAATCGGCTGATTTGTTCAAGTCTTTACTGTGATCAGCCCAGTAGGTGTCTCTTATTTTTCCAAGAGTTGTGTACCATGAGGGATTTACACTAGTTTTGTCAAGAGTAGCACTATATGCAGTTCGTAACGTGGGAGGATGATCCGTTTTCCAGCTATTTGGAAAGCCAGTAGGGCGATTTACAGCACTATCAGCACCACGATCATTACCAACATGATGAGCAGGCTCTGAATTAGAAGGCATTCGAACACAATCAGGCTGATTGCTTAAAACACTATTTCCTTTAGGAATTTGGTTGTAGTTAGATAGATCCCCCTGATCAGAGCTTGACTGCATTGGTTGAGATTTTGGCCAATGCCTGGTGTCAACAAGAGGAGTTTTAGGCCTATTGACATGCACAGATTCTTTTTCTCGAGAACTATATAAATCTGCAGTAGGTGTTTTGCTACGATACATTGTTGAAGCTGGTGTATTATATGCTTCTGAAAATGATAAAAAAGAACATTATTCAAAACTTTTAATTAACATTTACTTCATGAAAAGTATGCTGGAGAAGGGGAAAAACTTCACTTGCCTGCTGATCTATGAGCATAAGAATGAGAAGAATTATTACTTGCACTTCGACGAACACCAATGTCATCTGCTGATTTCATCTAAAAAAAGAAATGAAATTCTGATAATTTTGTAAATAATACTATAGTTATATTTAACATTTATTAATAACAAAATGAAATATATGAACTTAACAGAGAAAAGTACAGAATGATAGAAGTAAAACAACAGAAAAGAAAATACACTATTACTAAGTAATAGAAATTAAAATACAATTATATTACAATGCTACAATTTAAAAGACACAAGAAACAACTAAATCAGATCAATTTTATTTAGTTCAGGGAAAAAATGAATTTTCATGTACAAGAACTAGCTCCTGCACTTTCAATCATCACTAAAGCAAATAATTTTTTACCACTTTCTATTTTTTATAATCCTGATCATTTCATGTTTTAAAATGCAGTGCATATAAATAATCTTATTCTTGAGCAGTTGAAGAATATGCATCTTAAGTGGTAACAGACCTATGGATTTCAGCAATCCTTGCAATACATTCTCGATATTCCTAATTGAGACAAAATTTTAGCTGTGATGAGGATTTTTCTTTCTTTTTTGCTTCAACACTTCTATAATCTCTTTGCATTTTTTACTATCACAACAGTAAATTGTTGCCAGATGCTGCATTTCATGAAAGCAAATGTATGGCTGATTGATTTTGCAATATCTCAATAGCTAAACTCCCATAATAGTAAAATTAAGCAAGAAAAAAGTTTGGAAATGTTCTTTAACCGCTTCCCTTGCAATTTTTTTGGAGCGGGGGGAAAAAAAAAAAAAAAAAAAAATCCGCAAAAAATAAAATTTTTAAAATTTTATTATTAAATACAATGAAATGAAACAAATAAAAATATGCAGGTTTTAAGTTGAATTTTTAATTTTTTGAAGGTGTAAAAGCCTTTAGTTTTAATATTAGTTTACTATCCTGAGTTATGTTGTGCAAACAAAAAAAAAAAAAAAAAAAAAAAAAAAAAAGTTAAATATTAGTCTTTGTATGATAGTTTTTGAAATAAGGGACAACACAAAGTGAGACCTGACATTCTACACTAGTATCTGGTCTCTTTTCTTACTGGTTTATAGCTGGATTCTCTTTTACGGGAGCACAGAGTACATTGTCTCATTGGAATTAAATTTTTAAAAATATTTTTCCACCTCTTCATAATTGCTCTCTTGCATCATCGCCATTATTATTATTATTTTTTTCAATTCATATATCTTTCTTAATGCATTACAAATCCACAAGCTGACTTATACTATACAATAGGGAAACATGTGACCAGCCTCTCCAAAAGAACTATGACACCAACAAAATTTGGCAAACTGCCATTCAAAGCTGAATATTTCTTTTCATTTCCTCCAGGCCAAGTAAAACTGTAATAAAATAAATCATACTAACAAATTCTGCTTCGCCCGAGTTTTCTCCAGATAATAATTAACAGCAATACGAAACCGAGATAACTCGGGATAATCAGGCAAGCGGTTAAATACCTGCAGATGTTCTTTCAGCTGTAAATAGCTTCACATATTCTTTTATTATGCATTTTTAATGCAATTATGAATTTTTAAGGCCCCAAAGCAGTCATTTTCTGTATTTTTTTAAAACCAAAATGGACTACTGAAGCATACGCATATGATTAGCAACAAAATTGAGTAACTTAAAAAATTGATGCTTGCAAATTTTTTTGTAAAAATGCCATAGCTTCTCATTTCTACTAGTTAATAAGAAATGTAAAATGTGTGATTTCCGAACATACTAAATTTTGATCATAATTATTTTTAAAATTAATTCATACTTGCCAACCTATGACACTCAAAAATCAGGAGATTTTTTTAAGAAATCAGGGAGTTTTCACAATGTTAAAAAAACTTTTTAAATGATAAAAATATAGTTTTAATAATGAATTAACTTTAAATAGTTACTAAGTCTTAAATGCAAGCAACAACAAAAATACCTTACACATAAAAAAAAAAAAAAACATTTTTATTACTTGCAATCGTTAAAAAACAAAAAAAAAAAAAAAAAAAAATCAGTTTTTCATACAAATGTTATGGAAGTGGCAGATTTTGCTCGCGTTAAGAAAGAAATTTCATAATTTTGTTCACATAGCAATTGCCACGTAGGCCTGCTTTCGCTTAATAAAAGTTTTTCTAATGCGTCATCACTAATATTAGATCTAAAGTTTAGTCCTTCGGTTTCGCAACAACACTGAAAATCCTCTCACACTCTGCAATATTATGGGGAACTGTCGAGATTGGCCAACATTATTCTAGAGAGTTCACTATATTTTAAAATTCCATCAGCACCTTTCAAGTTTTCCAATTAAAACTCCACTGGGTGTCAATCCTAGTTGATTTTATAACTTCATCCTAAGTTTTCTAATTGTAAACTGCAAAATTGCGAATGCAGTATATCAGTAGCAACATCAATATCATCATCTGTCATGACTAAACGAAGTAACACAGGAATCTATTCAAAAAGTACCTTATATCAAAAAAGATGCATTTGCTAGAGCAGAACATCAGCAACTTTAGCATGCAAAATCACTTCCATCGTGACTGGAAACTTATGTAGTGTGTATAACATACTCGACAGAAGTAACTTCTAACATGAAGATAAAACTTATTTTTGTCTTCTTCTGAAAGTTCTTCCACTACTTTTGTAGTTGCAGCTCTTATTACCAAAATCTTCATCTTCCTCTGATTTTCTGTTTCACCATAAATCACATCATATATAGAATTACAAGACAAAACACAGACTAGTTTTTACAAACTTTGATAAAATGTCTTTAAACAGATCATAAATCATTGATTGCAAAACATGAATTAATGGAATTCTGCTTTGTAGAATTGTGTTCAGAAACATCGAATGATGGCAAAATGAATTGTAAAAAAAAAAAAGCAAAAAAGCTTTGTTAAGGTCCGAAGGAAAAAACATAAATATTCGTTCTTCACAAGATAAACTTACAGTAATCGGAAAATGTTTTCGTGTGTTGAGCAATTTTTCTTTTATTTTGAGAGAAATTTGTATCAGCTTTACGCTTATATTTTGCAGTATTATTTTGAGAACTGCCAGTGAATTGCTGAATGATGCAGGCAGAATTACAAAAATCAAAATTTTCTCATTTCAGTATTATGCAGCTGTTGGAACTGTTTCAATTTTTCCTTTCTTTTAGAACTCCTTTCAAGATAATAATAAATATCAACAATGTGTTCATCCACATTTAATGGTAAAGAAGCTGCCCCTTTTTCAGCTGCTAAATTTAAGAGGTGACAGGTGCACCTCATAATCTGCAAATCTGAATTTGCCTTTCTTTAAGATGCCTGCAACACCAGCCTTCAAGCCTACCATTACTGGTGCATTATCGGCACCAAGCGCTAAGCAATTATCCAGAGGGACTGCATTTTATTTTAAAGTTTTAATAATTAGCTGTGCTATATTAAAGCCTGTCGAATGTCCTTCTAAAGTGGGACAGAAAGTAAACTGCACTCAATTTCTGAAGACTCTGGATTAAAAAAAGAAACAACAATTGGATACAGTTTTGAATTGGTATTATTGCTTCCATCCGTAGAGAGGCAGAACGGAGCTGTTTTAATGCAATCAATAACTGAAGATTTATTTTCCAAACCCATTTCTTTAACAATTGCACCTGTTTTGGTCCTTGCACTTGAGTATTTCTTAGCGATTTCACTATCGGGAAACATTTTTCTAAATAAAGCTGCAGCGTGATCCGATGCATTCAGTGGCAGGTTGTGCTCCAGTAAAAAGGCAGAGAACCAGACATTCTGCATTAATCACCTTTTGGTCTTTTGTTTCCGAAGAAAATTTAATTTTTCGTTTTTTCAAAACAACTCATGTTGTCCTTGTGTTTTTGTGTACGCACATGTTTGAGAACGTCTGCCCTTCCACCAAGCGAAATCGAAAAATCGCAACGACAGATGGTACACCTTGCAAAGTTATTACATTTCCTTGAAGAAATAATGGAAGGAAAGTCAACTGTGTACGATTTTTGAAACGTGCACGAGTATTTCACCTTTCTCGCAGACACAATCAAAAGACGATAATTTCTAAAACTCTATTTCCCTAAAGGCACGTGTACTCACACAACTCAGGACAAGATGAACGAAATAACGAAAGAATAGCGAAATAACGGCCCAACGGCCAAAGAATTTTCTTTGCCAACGGCCTTGAGCTTGCTTTGTGCTCATTGGCGAATATATGCCAGATGACACGCAGTGGAGCTCGATGCCCATTGGAGAACTGGTATAACGACGTTTCTGGATACGTATGCTGTCGACTCACAAAGCAGAAATTCTCATCTGATTCGCAAGGTTTTCATTTTAGATATAATCTAGAGAAAATTCAAGTTTGCTTTCAGACGTCCAAAATCACTTTTTTTTTGTTCATATAACGAAGTATTAAGCCAAGTTCCATAAAAATCGTGAGAAATATTAAGAATAAGAAAAAGTCGGGAGAAATATATTGTAAATCGGGTTGGCGGGAGAGCGGTCGAAAATCGGGAGTGTCCCGCCTAAATTGGGAGAGTTGGCAACTCTGTTAATTAATTCATTAAAATTATTGACATTCTGGTTTGGGAAATAATACTTTACACTGCATGAATGTAATTTAAAAATTATCATGAAATTTTTTTGTAAGATACCTTGGTAACTCTAGGAAGCAACCCACGCTGAATTGTGATGTGTGCAGATTCATCACAAGGGCATTCTTTAAGTATTTGTACAACCTCACTATGAGGCAAGCCACGAATATTACGCCCATTTATTTCAACTAAAATATCACCTTCTTGCAGATGTTGACAACGTGTTCGATCTAAAATTTTCTTGACCTGTAAAAATACCCAAATTAATATATGCTTAAAAAAGGGCAATCAGCTTAAAGCATAAATTTAACATAATAATAAAGTATTTCTTTTACCTTTTGTCCATAAACACTATCAGCTATAGTAAAACCAAATCCAGCTTTCCCCTTGACAATCTGAACAGAAAGGAAATCGGCTTTACCAGGTACTTGATGGTTGAGATCATGTGTGCTAATTGAATGGTCACCACTGCTTGTACTTAAAAGGTCTGCACTGCTATGCCTCTGAGACAAGAATGAGGGCCTTGTGCTGAGATCGGGCATAGACTTTGCAGAACGAGTTGCAGATTCAGCTGATTCACTTCCATTCAAACAGCCACAGAATCCATTAGGTCCATTTCCATGAGAACAACTAGATACTGCCATGGTAGTAACAATTTCAGTATTAGGATCTTTAGGATCAAATGGCAATTGGTAGCCTTGACACACTTCCAAGTGCACAGTTTCCCCAGGAGGAATGGACTGAAATAATGATACTGCATCTTGATGGCTATAACCTAGTACACATATGTCATTGATGTATACTAGAATGTCACCTAAAAGTTACAAAATAAATGTAAATTTGCGTTCAACTTACAACACAAAGACTTTAAAAAAAGCTCATATTATACAAACATTTCCTCAATTATACATAAAATATCTGTTGTAGACACTACACGACTAGTATGCCTATTAAATCATATAGTTTTTTTTTTTCGGGGGGGGGGGGTGCTGCGCTTCAAACTTACTTCATTTGAAAGTGAGATGTGATCCTTCAATTTTTTAAAATGGACAGTTACTAAAACTGCTAAAATATTACTTTTTATTAACATTACATGTTTATACAATTATTTATTCAACAATATTACCTGAAATATAAGGATAGGGTAAGTCCCTTTATTACTTTAAATGCAAGGTCTCTCAACTATTTAAGTTTTTAAAATTATTATGATGTAACCATCAACAAAATGAAAACCAAAACAAAATATGGGAGGGTTCCTAAATTTTTAATTTACATTTATAATATTTTTTAAACCTTACCATTTAAAAAAAAAAACTTCCAAGTAATGTGCACTAGTCAGCACAGCTGACAGCAACAAAAAGGGAGGTATACAGCTAGATATTATAAGCATACCAAATAATAAATTTCAAAGCATTTTGCAGTGAACTGCTTTAGAGTTATGCAACATATGCATACATAGATTTTATAAAGGACCTAGTTAAAAATCGAACTAGGAACAGTCATTGGATATTTCCACTGAAATCTGAAAATGTCCATAATCCGGACATCAAACCTACAAATTTTCTGCATGTGCGTAAACGCATATGCATTTACGCATGCGCACTTAATGCATAATGGATGACACAAGCTAAGCTAAAATGATCTAATTATCTATTTCAGTTAATGTTGCAGATTGCGCTGTTCCTTAATCTTCTAATTGGATCCGGCTTATTATTTTTTGCAGACTGTTAGAGAAATTTTATAAAAGTAAGCTTGAACTTTCGATTATGTCAAAAAGAATTTCTGATTCTGAAGCTGCCAAAGGATCTACAAAGCGAAAGCATGTTTCGATGTCCATCCAAAAAGTGGAAGTACTGCAAAAAATGGATAAAGGCATATCCTTTGTTTCTCTAACCATTCCGAAATCTGTTTATCCATTTCACGCTGCTCTGTGAGGAAGGGGGATGTCGCGGTGCAATGAACTGAAAGTTGATCTGTCAGCACTATCCTTACTAAATGTAGTATTTCATCTCGATGTACTCCGTCTTTGATATGATTTAAATCAAATTCCTCGTCATTATAAATATCACAAATACACATCAAACAGTTTTCTGGTTGCAATTTTCTAATTTCGACTACGCGTAATGTATGCTTTCTGCATGCGTGCGTTGAAAGAAGTGTTTAATAAAGTAAACAAATAAATATAAAGCTTTTTTTTTTTTTTTGTTAATTTTGATACCCTTTAGATCATAATTGCTCTTTATTTCATAAATTACGGTTTCATATTTTTGATTTTATAATTTCTACATGCCATCTTACCAGATTTAAACTGATGATCTATAATCTGGAAAAACTGATAATCCGGAATCTCGGAAGTCCTGAAGAGTCCGGATTAAAGACTTTTGACTGCACTTCCTTTTCAATACAAACAAGTAAAAATTACATTTCACAATTACAATACAAGGAAGTAAAAATCAGAAAAATGCATAGCTAGATGCTATAGCAGACCCATAGCAGTTGCATAGCTAGAAAATTTGAACCCTTAGGTAAAACTTTAAGTTTATATATATATGTACATGTATACAGATACATGTAAGATAAAATACAATGGCTGCTTTAAGAAACGATTGGCGACCTCAAAATTAACTATTCTAAATTTGGTGGTCTCCCCCCTAAGTTCATTTGTTCTCCCAAATTCGGGATCTTTCCATGTTGCATAACCTAAAGTTAACCAATCACAGATTAGCTGTACTTATGCATCATACTTAGTATAAATACTCTTCTCCAACAAACTACGTCATTCCTTTTCCTTGCTTCCACCATGCCAACAACTCTATGCTGATATGCCTGCCTTTGTTCTTATTCTAAGATGATGTAACATGTAGATAAAAATTGTAGTTGCTTATATGATCTAGAAGTATCTTATCTACTAAGAAATGATTTGATATGTGCAGAAATAAAGATTAGTGATTCGTAAAAATCCAAATCTGTTATCGTCTGCATGCCTTTCCACTCAGTCCTGCCTACAGCCACAAGTTCCTAGTTAAAGTACTAGTTAAAGTAAGTTAAAGTTCCTAGTTAAAGTAAAGTACTGGATTCCTCCTATGCAATTAAAATACTACATATATATATAGAGAGAGATGTCTATACATACATATATATCCTGTGTGTGTGTGTGTATATATATATATGTATGTATACAGGTTGTCACAAAAGGTCATGTCCATATATATATATGTGTGTATACAGGGTGTCACAAAAGGTCATGCCCAAATGGCCTGTATGGTTGTGTCAGGTCATGGAATCAGAATACACAAGAATAGGGAGTCGGAAATGCAATTGTGACAGTGAAATTGCATCGTGACCATCATGCAATGAAAAATAACAAATGGTGTAAAAAAACTTTATTTTACAACAAAAAAGTACCAGATACAAATGAAAAATTATATAACAAGTGGCTCAAAATTGCCCACTGGCGCCACATGGATTTGTGAATTCGTTCGAATTGGCCAGGAGTCTCCTGGACACTTGCCGCTGCTTCAACAATGCATTCCATGAGGTCCATGTCTAATGTATGGGTGTCCAATGAAATGGCTGTATGGGCGTTGGAGATCTTCCCGCAGTATTTGCAAATGGAGGAGCAAGCAACACCTAGGTTGTGTTCCATAATGTGGATTCTGTCTCATTGCGTCTAATATAGTGTTTTCAACGTCCACTGTCCATGTTGCACGTTGCTAGATGTGGCTGCTGATTTTGAACGATCCTGCCTCCTGCAATCGGCGATGTAATTGTCCGAACAGTCTATCGTCAGGTGCATGTTTGCTCATGCATATCGCAGTACATGCATTGACATCCACAGTGCCATATATATAATGCATATCTGCCAATTTTGCATTACTGTACTAGTTCCTTTCCCTCCAGCAAGCATGCTTCGACTGATTCAACTGCCCACACTTGCCTCTGCCAGCGTTTATCGCCCTCTAGTGGATTACAATCACATTTCCGACACCCTGTTTCCTATGTAATTCTGATTCCTCATGACCTGACACAACCATATGTGCCATTTGGACATGACTTTTTGTGATATACTAAAATGAAACTTAGTACATGAATGAACTGAAAATCCATTTTAGTCAAATAAATGAGTTTCATTTAATGGTTATAAGCAATTCAAAACTATTAAATTAGTAAAAGGAACAAATGCTTTGAACCTGTTCTTAAAGCGAACACGATGAAATTTCTATCAGAATAATAAAAAAGATTAAAAAACCTGTAAGGTTATTTGTTAATAATTATCAGAATAAATATCTAATTAAAATGTTAAAATACATGAAATAATTATTAATTTTTTTTCTGCAAAAAATCAAACTGCAACAAAGTCATTGCACTAATACACAAGTATTGAGGGGAAAAAACAGAGAAATCATTAAAATAATTATTATCTGGTCTTTTAAATTCAAATGAGCTTCATCAAAAAAGGTTTACTTCCATCAAAAAAGGTTTACTGATGATATAAATGTGAAGGTAAGTAGTTATGGAGCATTTTGCAGACAAATTTTCAGACTATTAAATACGTAGAACAGCAAATTAAAAGATGTAAAAAGTGCATCAACATGCACTGCAAAGGAAATAACTCAACTTTCACTATTTCTTTCAGAACTATATTAAGGGCAAAAACTTTCGCATTACATCTTGTACTTTATTATTATTATTTTATACTAAATCATTGGCTTGTTTCATTTGTTTTTATTCAAATTTCAAAGGGGCTTTGTACCTGAAGGACTATTGTTTTCGTTTTGCGATTATGCGTTGAATCACTAGAAATGTCTGTTTCACTTTTCAAACTGTCGCCACCAAATGTTAGAGTCCTGCATTATATTTGAAGAAATTAAATAATGAAAAATCTGCATAAATGTATGTATATTTCTCGCATTGTGATAAAACAACAGTACACAGAGCCATCAAATTTTGAAAGATGTAATCCTCCTAATATGGGCATGTGGAAGACCAAATTTTAAATTTGGAATTTGTTTTATTATTGATTTCATATTTTGTAAAACTTTAACAAGTTTTTGAGTAACAAAATCAACGATTTGAAAGCCAGCAATGGCAACACTCTACGGGGAGACCTTTTTATCTCCAGCACGCGGAACTGTGTATCGGAAAATCTAAAGAAATGCTCATTTAAAAATTATTTTACGACATTGCTATCAAATTGGATTTTATGGTTTAAGTGCAAAGAACATGATATTTAATATATAAAGGTAACACGCAAAACGTTAAAAAAATGCTCCTTTAGACGTAATTTAAAATCTGATTTTTTTTTTTTTTTTGGATAATACCACCAAATTCTGCTTCTTTCTGTTTTATATTTTGCATAAAATTAGTGGGTAACTCCTTTCTGATTTGTACTTTTTCACTTGCTTAAATTCTTCTGTACTATATCTGTACCTCAAATAAAATCTCAAAAACACGAAAAATTCATAAATTTAGAGTAAGAGTTTCACTGTCCAATGATTTCCATTAAATACACATTTTGAAATAAAGGAATACATGTAAAGCATTCTTGTTCACTTAATTCACCAGACAAATTATTTAGGCCACACACAGATATCATTATAATATATATATACCATTCTTAAGTTTGCAAGAACAAAACTAGTATTTTCAAAATTATAAGAGATCAACTTGTAACTTTAGTAGTGAATCAAAAGATGTAATAAAATAACATACCAACTTTAAGCTTTCCATCCTGCCAAGCAGGACCATGTGGAACTATAGCAGTTATCTGGAGAAATTCTTCAACATCGCCATCATCACCACCAATAATAGTGAAACCAAAACCTCGAGCACTTTTAACAAGACTTGTTTTTACCATACGGCCTTGCAACTCAGCTGGATTGCTAGTGAAAACATATGGTGGACTGTAACCAGAACCTCTAACTAGAATGGCAAAATGAAACAGTATGTGAGAAACAGCATACTCATCGTTTCTTTTATTAAAAACTGTAACTACTTCTTATTAATTAAATACAAAATCTTATGAAACTGTGAAGTTATTTGTGTGTATTATTTGTAGAGTAATTAAAAGCACATCCAACTATCATTGGGGAGTTTCAGAGTTTGAATTCTAGCAAGGGTATCCCAGCTTCAAAAAAATTCTAAATGACAGAACAGTGGAACGAAAAAATGGATGTTAGATCATAATTTGCTACCACCAAGATTTGGCAATTGGGTCGCCTTCCCACCAGCTGCCCCTTTAACTGGGATAAAATGTACCAGGTTGTTCAATAAGTTCGCGAAATGGAAATGAAGAAACCAATTTTTATTTGTAAAAATGACTTTATTTTTCAACGTAGTTTCCCTCAACTTCAATATACTTATTCCAATGGTCTTCTAATTTATGGATCCCTTGACTGTAGTGGTTTTTCGGCAGCTCTGCAAAATATCCCTCCACGGCAGCTACTACCTCTTCGTTTGAAGAAAATCGTTTCTACGGAGATATTGTTTGAGGTGTGAGAAGAGCCAGAAGTCGGAGGGAGCTAAATCTGGTGAACAGACTGGATGTTGCAACAATTCGTACTTCAATTCAGTTATTTTAGCAATGGTTTTTTTGAGCTGTGTGCGCAGGTGCGTTACTTTGGTGGAAAATGATTTTCTTCATCTGTAATCTGGGTCTTCTTTCACGAATTTTTTCGTCTAATTGATTCAAAAGGTTACAATAATAATCCAAATTAATTGTTTTGCCAGTTTGAAGGTAATCTATAAACAAAATTCCTTTTGCATCCCAAAAATCTGATGCTAACACCTTCTTGGCTGATTTTTGCACACGAACTTGCTTCGACGCTGAAGAGCCGTGTTCACACCATTCCTTAGCCTCCTGTTTTGATTGAGGATCATGATGGTAGACCGAAGTCTCATCCATTGTGATAAATCGATGGATAAAGTCACTTTTATTCTTCTTAAAACGCTCCAACAGTTGCTGGCAAAGTCGCATCTGAATGTGTTTTTGCTCCATCGTTAGAGAATGCGGCACCCATTTTGCACAAAGTTTTTGAAACCCAAATTAACACTCAAAATATTGCTCACTGTGCCCAATGAAATGCCTAAAGCCTCTGTTAAATCTCTTTCAGTCAATCGACGGTCTTCCAATACCATATCTTGTATTTTTCTGATGATTTCCAGTGTTGATGCAGTTTTTGGACGTCCCTCTCGCGGATCGTCTCCAAGGCTGGTACGCCCACTTCTGAATAAACTAGCCCACTTGCAAACCATTGTTTTTAGCAGATTCACCCAACACATTCATCATTTCGGTATGAATTTCCATTGCCTTTAAACCTTTCTTTACAAAGAATTTGATAACTGCACGTTGCTCAATTTTATCCATACCTGAAAAAAGCCACAACATGTTAGATATAAAGGGTGGTTAAACAATGAATAAATTAACAGATCGAAATGTACTTTTGACGTATTCCTAAGAAAAAACAAATATGAAAATGGCGTTGAAGTTTTAGGTCTAATATTGACGAATAGATGGTGCTCCGCGAACTTATTGAACAACCTTGTAATGTATTTTTTCCCTTTTTACCACATGCCTTCATAAAGTAATCAGAAGCCCATTCGGTTTGTACTGGAAGATTCGGGCCCCCTTGATCCCACTGTACATTGTTTATGTCTCATTTTTATACATACCTGATAACTGTATGAAGTTCCTTGAATATAAATAAACTGAAAACAACACTTCCACACGTTAATTTGAAAAAGGCTAACTACTTGGTTTTAAAGGAAAGAAATATTTTCTACAATATGCTAAAAATTAACAAACCATTAGGTAATGGATCAATATTCCGACAACATTTTACTCTTTGCTCCCCCCCCCAAAAAAACGTTCATGGTCAATAAGCATATGAAAAGGAGTATAAAGTGTTAGTTATGCTTTTTTTTTAATGCAATGATGTGACATTTTGGATACCCACAAAGTAACATTTAATATTTACAGATTTAAATTTTACATTCTGCAAACATAAACAAGAGATCTTTAAAAAATAAAGATATCACAAAGAAACTTACGCCCAGCATGTGGTGGTCCATTTCTGTTACTTCTATCATCTTTAACAGGACCAGAATTTCTTTGCTGAAACTGCTGGTCTGAATGCTTTCCTATATTACCACTATCAGATGGTACACCACTGCCTCTTTCACCTGGATGGGTTTCATTGTCGCATCTCCATGATTCTTGTGAAGTATTTTTTACCTGATCAATATGCCCAGCTATTGAAAAAATATTATTTTTGGCATAAATATTTTGTATTCAAGATACAATTTGAAATTTCCCACACTTTTTTTATTTAATGCAAGTCCATTAATAATGGTCATCACATGCATTAATTTAAACTTTAATTATATGATTATATTTTTTTTATTTTTAATTATATGATATATCAATTGCCATGAATTTCAAAGCAAATATGTCAAAGTATTTTAAGATAATTTTATGGGTTATCCTCCCAATAATGAAAAAAGGAACACACAATAGCAGCTTATAAATAACAAATCACCAGTATGAATGTATACGATAAATATAAAATATGTTCCACTAATTATTACTCTCAAAATAATTCAAATTAGTAAACAGACAGCAAAACGCATTTATTTTTAAAGAAAAATAAAACTAATCAGAGAAAAAAATTAAAATAAAGAACTTACAGTCATTTGAAATTTTCCTTGCTTGCGTCACTGGATTTTCATACTGAGTTCTTTTATTCACATGGCTATTGGGAAGAAATATCCAAGTTAGCAACAAAAAACTTAAATCTTAATATTTAAATTACACATAAATTATAATTTTTTCCAAGACCTATAGCAATATAAAACCAATTATTATGCCTAATATGTACAAACTTAATTACGGTTATAGATAAAAACTGTGTGTGTGTGTATATATATATCTGCCAAGGAAAGTCTTATCTCTTCACTAAGCTTCTTTTTCTATTATGGAAAATGTAAACTATGTATACAGAATTTGTGTGGCGTGTTTAGTATCCTTAGTGTATATTTGCTTATGAATAATTTTTAATTCGTTTTTGCTATAAAAGCATTACATATCATACAATAAGAGTTTAACTACCCTAAAAATATATAGATACAGAATACCGAACATATTTCAAGTTATTTCTTACATACAAAATTTTAAGGGAAATATAAATTCATTGTTTTATTTACTTATTTTTTGATGAGATAACAGGTTAACTCTCACTGCATAGCTTTTATATCAAAATAGGTTAAAAAATTTTGTATTTTTTAAATTACATATTTCAAATCTACATATATTTTGAGGTTAAAATATACACAATTTTTTTGTAAAACTGCTTTTTTTCAGTATAGAATTAGATCATAGAAAAAGGAAAATTTAAACCGCAAAATAAGCATATAAAAGAAAAATTTTGAAAATTAATCTTGTTTAAATTATGATATATTTTATAAAATATAATGGTAAACATATATACTAATGAAAAGATGCGAAATATTCACAAAACATTTATTAGAAATGAAGTGTAATATGATAAACTTCGAAACAAGGCTCGAGGCCATTCTATCTCACTATTCTTGCACCAAATATGCATTTGTTTATGAATTTTTCTGCCAGTTTCAGTATTTTTAGAAACAAACAGGACAATGCCTACGAGTTTGCTTCTTGATGGAATTGGGGAATATACAACTAGCAAAATGTCGAGCAGTTAGTCTCATGTGATTGAGAGTTGAACTACAGACATCTTTGAGCTTTGAAAAGAGCGCCCAAAATGGTGCGAAATGTGTTTGTGTTATTTCGCAGAAATATGGACAAATAATGCCATTTGTTAACCCAAATCTGAATAAATAATTAAACATCACAGAAAAGCCGAAATGAAACCATGAACGAGAAAGAAGTGGGCTGCACAGTTAAATAACCAGCAAAAATGCATCCGGGCAGAAATCATGGGATACGCAGTGAGAGGGTTAAGTAGGTCTTTAACCCTCTAAGCTGCAAGGCAGTATACATATGGCCTAGAATATTTTTGTGACATCTGTAAGAACATATATATATGTGTATATTAAAATATGTCAAAGAAATTAAGACAATATATCAAAAGTGCACAAATCCAGGTATGAAATACCAGAAGAGTTTTTTTACATTAAAATTAAAAAAAAAAAAAAAAAAAAAATTGTTTTCACAGTTTTGAGAAATTTGTGCTTTCTTAATGAAAACCCTGGCCGCTCAGAGGTTTAACTATCAATATTTTGTTTTCATTTTTACTTAAACAAAATAATACTCCCCCCCCCAAGCAAAAATGCACGAAATGCCATTTACAAGCATCTTTATATCATTCAAAGTAACAAAAAAGGTTTAAAATATATGTAAATGAAAAGCCACTTGACCTGTAAAGAAGAATACATAATCAGAATAAATGGAGTTCCAATATCTGAAATTTAGATAATTAATCATTCTACAGTACATCACTGTATTAATGAAATAAAAGGAACACTTACTCAATATAGTATGTTCCATAATGAGGATCATCTATTTTTTCCCATCCATATGGAAGTTCTGAAATATTTTTTAAAAATGCCACATAAATCCAGTAGAATAGCAAAGTTAGCAATATAGCAGTAAGCCAATCAAGTAAGATATTTTTTGGTTTGACTGATAAAATAGTTTTTATCTTTGGTTAACTCTGCTTAATAACATATCAACGGAAAAAATTATTTTCCCAGAGTAACGTATTCAACATTTAAATAGATTAGTTTATTCTTAAATAATTACTCTAATTATTATTAATATCCCATTATAAGAAGAAGAATAAAATACACAACACATTAAGCCTACTCTCAGTGTATTAAACACTTTTGGTTTTATAAGTAATAATTTGTAACTTACCATCTTCATCACACTCTGTAACAGGCTTCTTATTTTTTGGTCTAGGATCAAGCCACTGGGAGGTTCCTTTATTATGACTGAAAAAAAAAAGGAAATCGCAAGTTAATTTTTAATTACTAAGTGAGCTTTATTCTTAAAATTCAATTAATGATTTTTGAGAAAATATGGTTGGGACCAATATTTATACAATTCCAGTTTTAATAAACATTTTTATATGCAAGAAGGAGATAACATAGAAGATAATTATAATGAAAAAACCTAATGTGATGGGAATTACTTCTGTTATGCTTTCTCCCGTGGAAAGAGGATTTAAAAGGTTCTGAATCCATTAAAATACATGCAAGATTATTTTCCTATTTTACATTTCTACTGGCAACAAAGGAAATAAAATTTTTTTTGACTGATTCTTCTTATCTTACATTTTTACTGGCAACAAAGGAAATAAAAAAATTTTTTGACTGATTCTTCAAAGGATAACCTATTACAGTCAAAAGTCATTAATCCGGACTCGTCGGGACTTCATCGATTCCGGATTATCGATTTTTTTGGATTATAGATCATCAGTTTAATCTGGTAAGATGGCATGCAGAAGTTATAAAATTAAAAATATGAAACCGTAATTTATGAAATAAAGAACAATTATGACCTACAGGGTATCAAAATTTACAAGAAAAAAAAATCTTAATATTTATTTGTTTACTTTATTAAACATTTCTTTCAATGTAAGTTGTTTAAGTTGCTTCGTTTTATGTGATAATACTTTCTCTTTAATTCTATAAACAGACATAATATCTTGTTCAGTTATATAGTTTCGCTGTTCAAGTCCTATAATTGCTGTGTTGAGAATATTGACTAATTTGTCAATCGAAATTTTTTCGTTTTCAATAACCTCTGTGTCACTTTCTTCACTATCGGAAGCGATATCTTCTGGATCTAGAACCATACTACAGATTTCGCTGTCCGTTAATTGATTGATGATTGGGGCTTGTCGTCGCAATGAAAAACTTCTCTTATATCATCTTCATTCATTGCCGCTTCTCCACATTTCTTTACAAAATCCAATAACCAGAAAATTTCACCTTTAGTTTGCAATGTCCGAAAACCTTCAAATTCGCAGCTATCATCTTGATCATCCTCACCATGAAATATGGTAGATGGCCATAAATTATGCCAAGCATTTTTTAACGTACCTGGAGACACATCCTCCCACAATCTTGCGATACTTAACAGGGCAGATTTTATGCTAAAAAATTTCAAAAATTCTTTAATAGTCTTGCCACTGTTCAAGAAATTTAACATAGATTTTAAAACTGCTTTATTTTGCATTTCAGCGCATGCGCTATTCCCATATCCATAGGCTGAATGATAGACGTACAATTTGGAGGGAAGAATAATACAGATACATTATCTTTCACTAAAACTTTAAGTGAAGTATGCGCTGAACAGTTATCAACAATCAGAACTATTTTTGAGTCATGAGGTAAACCAACCGAATTCAAATGTCACCGAGCCTCGGATATAAAATGATTTTCAAACCAATCATTCATCAACACTTTTGTCATCCATGCTCTTTTATTTGTGCAATATATAACAGGGAAAATCATTACTCCTTTAAAGGCCCGAGGTCGTGCATGTTTTCCGATTACAAAAAGTTTGCACTTGTGCATTCCTGCAGCATTTGCGCACGCTAAAATTGTTAGTCTCGCTTTGGAATCTTTGACACCAGTTGGAGCCTTTTCTGTAGAGGTTGCCAAGGTATTTTGCGGTACATATTACCAGAAAAGACCAGTTTCATCAGCATTGTAAATTTGTTCTGCAGATAATTGTTCACTAGTAATGAATTCAATAAATTAATCTGCAAATTGTTCAGCAGCTTCAGTGTCAGCTGAAGATTTTTCACCTGAAATTTGTAATTGTCTTATACCATGGCAATTTTTAAATTTGGTTAACCAACCTGTCATATATGTGCACTCTCCGTTTAAGTTCATTTCTTCATGAAATATTTTGGCTTGAGCCATTACCATTGGACTCATCAATGGCACGCCCTCGCTGTGACGCTGTCTGACCCATTCAATCATCGCTTTGTCATGATCGTCACTTTTAGCATAACGAACCCTTTTTCTGTTATTCATTAAGAGTGGGGTGTTGGAATCCACAAAAAATTCCTTTTTCTTTTTGCTTATGCCATACACAGTTGACTTTCCAATGTTATACTCCTTGCATAATTTTGAGACGGATATGCCTTTACCCATTTTTTGCAGCAATTAAACTTTTGTTTGACAGACATCGAAACATACTTTCGCTTTGTAGATCCTTTGGCAGCTCCAGCATCGGAAATTCTATCTGACATAATTGAAAGTTCAAGCTTACTTTTATAAAATTGCTCTAACAGTCTGCAAAAAATAATCAGCCGGATCCAATTCGGAGATTAAGGAACAACGCAATCTGCAACATTAACTGAAATAGATAATTTTAGCTTAGCTTATACCGTCCGTTATACATTAAACGCGCATGCGTAAACGTATTATGCGCATGCACACATGCATATGCGCAAGCGTAAAGGTATTACGCGCATGTGTGAACGCCTATATGCTATGCCCTGATGCATGCGCAGAAAGTTTGTAGCTTTGAGGTCCGGATTATAGATCATTCCGTATTATGGGTGTCTGGATTAATGATTTTTGACTGTACTACTAGTGAATGAATCTAGTCTCCTATTTATTATTATTTATTTTATATTACTATAGGAAACATATGATCTGCCTTTGATGCAGCAATTGTCGCTTTCTCAGTGACACTGAAAAATTTTTCTTGCTATCAGTTCTTGTCCCCCAAAACGTGGCCATACTATCAGATTCTAGGGTACCTTACAAATAGATCAACTGACGACCACAGAGACATTTGATAATGGTAGCAATATTATGCCACCTGAAAAAATTGTAACCCAATTAAGATATATCAGATGACAGTGAAACTGGGGTAACATCACGAAATATTTCACAAGGAGATGTCATATACGAAGACATTAATTATCAAAAATAAATTTCTTAACCCTTTGACACGCGGTGGTCGCGCCCTGAAACCACCAAATTTCGAATTTTTTTCTCCTCTTCCTTCCGAAATTTCTGAGTGAAAATCAACTGATTACTGATCTTTTACCTCTAAATAAAACAAAATGACTGCAGAATCATACATGTTTTAGGTCTTAGTACTTCAAATCGGATGCCTTTTAAAATTCGTTTTCAATGAGACAAAATAACTTCCTTTTATTAATATAAACAACTTTAAATTTCAAAAGTTTATTCATCGCACATCATGATTTCTATTATAAACAATAAAAAATAGCAATAATTAAACTGCATATATATATAAAAAAATAAAAAAAAAAAAACCCTATATGTATGACATTTGCTTTGTGGTTTCAGGGCGCGACCAGTGCACCACTAGAGCATTGTGACACAATGCTATAGAGGCTCGGTGGTCGCGTCTTGAAACCATTGCTCTTCACAATGGCGTTTGCTTGCTTCTCAAATAGGAATGTTAATTTTTACCCGGATATAGATAAGGGGTTTTGAAATCACAGAGTATTTTTTATTACTAACAATTACATGCAACTGCCCAGTAAAAAGGTCTTTCTTCTCCAGAGAATTTTCTCTGACCCTCAACACACTTCTCCCCAAGCTAGTAGTATGTGATTTCATAAATATTTTATGTCCTGTGTTTAATTTAATGTAATATACTTTTGCTGTAATTAAAAATAGAAATTGCGTAAAGTTTTATTTAAATTAAAAATATTTTCTGAATATTTAGGGACGAAATACGAATAAAATAAGTATGAATGGGAAACGAATGATCCGAATCAAAGCCAAAAAGACCAAGCCCCTCTGCATTAACATAAAAAACCCACAAAATTCATGTCCCAGATGAAAAGAAACTAAATAATGCTGGACATATACCAGTGAAATTTAGATCCGATCAGTGTACATTTTGTAGCACAAGGAAGAAACCTCATAGAAGAAGATACATGTGGCGAAACATGCAATGTAAGCATGCATGTACCAAAAAGACAAAACATACTTTGAACAGTGTCACAAAAAATATTTGTTCTTTGAAATTAAAAAAAAAACACTGAGTCTTTTTTTTATTCTTATTTTACTGAGTTTTTAAATCCATGTAGCCAAACATCCTTATTATGTAGGTACTTTCACTGCTATAGTAAAATTTCTATAGCATGTAAATTGTTTAATTTTTTTCTGACGATTTTTACTTTGTAAAATAATGTAACAAATATATATATTATGCACTTCCTACATGCATTTTGTTTTAAAATTTGTAAATTTCGTCATTTATTGGAAACGCGCACAGAGAAAGGTAAGTTTTTTTTTCCCCTACTTTCCTCAGTGGTAAGTTTCAAAGTCCTAGATGCGCGGTGGTTTCACAGTGTGACCTACCACCCACAGAACAGTGGGCAAGAGTAAATTTTTTAAAATTCATATATTATTTGTCTCTAGAGTCATCATATATTCAATTTATAGAGATTTTAGTTAAAAAAATTATAAAAATAATATTGCGCGCATCAAAGGGTTAATAGGACCAAGAAATGCTGGTCTGCATATTGCTGAAGCATGCATAAAATCAACTAATTTTTCTTACATTTTTTAATGATGAATCTCTTGAGAATATTATACAGAGGTGAAAAAGATTAATACTCTTGACAGCAATAAATGTGTAGCTTCATTTAAAACAAAATCATATTAAAAAAAAAGAAAGATATGAAAAGGGTAATTCACATTAATATTTATAAAATTACAATATCATTAAAGCCCCACTAACTCGATAAAATATGGTTCACCATCTTCTGTATAAGCCTTTTCCCAGTTCTCTGGTAATGGACCCAAGTCATCATCAGATCCAGATGGAGCACAACTCTTAATAGACTTATTTATTTCATCAGAAATTTTTCCTTGTGAAATGTGGGAGGACCTAGCAAACAATTTATGTAAAAGTTAGTATTTCAAATGAGAAAACCCAAAGAAATATACATATATGTGTGTGTGTATAAAGCAACATGTGTAAGCATGTAAACAAAAATAATAACTTTAATTTGCAACAGACCCTTAACTCTTCATTTTAATTTGGTTATTTGAGATCATAAATTTTTTGTTTGGCTCTAGTGTAGCATTGTAAGTTTCTTCGATTTTTAAGTGAAAATAGATTGATGTGTACATGGACAAAGTCAAGTTAGTGCGCAATGCCGAGTCTGTGCAATTCCCCTTTTTTAAGTGGAAATAGGTCGATGTGTTTGGGCAATTCTTTGACTTATTATTTTGGCTTTGTGTAGGGGCGATTTTTGGCACAAAAATTCACCAATTTTCGCCAAGGGGCACCCATAAATAAATTTTTACCAAAATGCCAAGTTAGGTTAAGGGAACCAAAATAATAAGCAGATTTGGTCATGAATGTGTGTACAAAAATAGTGCACTGAGGTAGTAAAGAGTGTCACTGAGTAGTAGTAAAAGCAGTCTGTTCGCATAAATTGCCATTCTTTAAGCAGAATTTAAGTGGTATGCTTAGGTACATGAGGGAGGAAGATAGGAGAAACAAAATAGATAAAATGCAGGTCAGAAACATGCACTGCATCTATGGGGTTGTCATTTAAGCAAAGCAATTATTTGAAGAAGGAATAAAGAATAATTCCAAAGTACCTCCCTCAAGCAGCTGCACCATTTCTGTATATTTAACAAAATATATCAAAGACATATAATGTAGTAAACAAACACATATAATGTAGTAAAGCAACACTTAACAATATTGTTGGCTTAGAAACAGTTGATGATGTAGATGGGGAAACATGACATTTCATTCATTGTAATAAAGCAGACTTAAAAGTAACGATGTTGAGAATGGTGATCCATAATGAAGAACAAACTTGGCCGCAGAGGCAGATTAAATATTCATCTTCATTTCAATTGACATTTACTGCGACAAATTTACCTGGCACTCTAATCATACCAATTCAAGAACATTTACAGTTCTGATATTGTTGCAATAGGAAGAGAGCAATGAGGCAGCATCTCGGCAAGAACAAAGATAGTAGCAAAGTGCACAGTTATCCAATATAGCAGCTTATTAAGAGAAAAATTCAGTTTATGTCCTGAATTAGCTACATCATCAGCATTATAAAGTCATATGATATGGACTGATCTAGAAATGACACAGTGCAGAAAAAAGTTATTATTATTTTTAGATCAGAGAGGGTGAATTTTTGTATAATGAAACTCTGCAATGTCAAAAACAAGCAATATATATTGGCGAGAGAGTATTCTACTTATGTTCTGATGAAATCTTAAAAATATTTTGTGCTAACGTTATATTTGTGCTTCATTCTTTACAGCATGTTACTTTTTTTTATAGAATATACTCCTGAAAATATTGCCTAATGAGTAAGCCTGAAGATATTTAAAATGTATAAATGAGTATATGGCAAATTCCTTATTTCAACACTTCGATTTAAATGTTTGTAAAGATTGTAAACTTTGATTTTTATTTTATTTATTATTATTATTTTTAAGTTAATTTAATTCTCAACTTGTTAAATAAATATTTTCATAGTTATTCTAACTTAAGATTCTTTAATAAAACTTTGCTAAATAGATGATAGTGTACTCAAATGCCTTAACCATATTAAATGCATGACATATCAGATATATACCCAAATAAAAAACAAGGAATTAAGAGGTTATTATTAATTTAAATTATAATTTCGATTTAGATATTTTTTTAATCTTACATATATATATATACAGACAGAGAGAGAGAGAGAGAGCTCACACTGCACAGTAGCAAAAGAAACTTTTAAAACTCACTCTATATTTTTCCCAGAATGACTGAAATTGGATGATTCGGTTTGTTCTCCACTAGTTTTGGCAGTCATTGCTTCAACACTAGACCGATTCCTTCGTCTTTTTCCTTCGGAAGATGGATGGATTCCAGGTATGACGTTATTGCTATTTGTATGGTTGAAATTAGTACTAGGTCTCACTGTTGACACAGGACATTCTTCAGGAGGTTTGGGAGTTCCGTAATGGTTACCTTTTTGTAAAAATAAGTGAATAAATAAACAAATATAAAAGCAATCTATAAAAGCAATCTTATCTATTATTTAAATGTATTTTGTTTAGAGAAAAAGACTGCATTAATATATTAACTGGCAAACACACATTCAGCTCAAAATACAATTTAATAAGATTTCATATATTTTACCTTGGAGCCTTACCTTACTTCATATACTTTACCTTACTTCATATACTTTACCTTTGGAGTAAAGTTGATTTATTAAATCACAATAGATGATAGCAAAAAAATATCCAAGGCTATACATTAATAATGAAGACCATAAACCAGTTCACATTTCAATCCAAATGTCCCATGTTGTTGTTTATACTACTGTACGTTTTACAATGATTCTTTCCAACACTTTATAAATGAAGAAACCGTTTAAAAGCCCAAAAGGGGAAATTTCCCAGAAAATAATTTTTTTTCTAATATGATGATCAAAATAACCAGGAATATGAAATTCTTTATATAACTATGTAACAGAAGATATCTATACTAGAAATGATGGGGAAAATAAATGTAAAATATTGTGCGCCATTATCGTTACTGCAACAGATTGAAGGAAGGGAGAGGGTAGCCGACTTAAAAATTAAGGTGTCACTTGATAGCAAATAAAATCTAGTGCCATTAAAAATACTATATGTGTCAAGAAAGTAAGGAATAAGAATAAGCATGCATTAGTATCTCTGATGTATTATCATTAGTATCTCTGATGATTAGTATCTCTGATGCATTAGTATTTCTGATCCCTATCAGCTTAGGTTTGTTTTTTGCAATACTTTAAATGTCACTTAAAAAAAAAAAAAAAAAAAAAAAAAAAAAAAAAAAAAAAAAAAAACACTGCAGTTTTTTGACAATGATTCTCTTCACTGATAAAAAATCAGATTCTCAGAAAATGCTTTTATACATAATGACTAAAATCATTATTAAAACCTTCTTAGGCTGAGAAAGTTACGTCTTTAAAAATTTTTTTGCTACAACTTTATACAATACATTTAAAGTGCAACATCATGCTATTTCTTATGCATGGATGTCAAGGGTTTATGGTGTATCTTGACAACCACATAAGAGACTGTACATGAATAACATGCTATTCCAAGACATAACTTACCAACAGACGAGAAACCAGTCTATGAAGCAACTGTAATGCAAACCCATTAGAAAGACCCACTGGATTATTTGGCTTTGCCAAATTTAGAGCTAACAGCCCAAAAGAGATACTTTTGTAGAGGATTTTCTATTCGTAAATAGGATATACAGTAAACCTTTGTTAACATGAATCTTAAGGGGAAAAAAATCAACAGTTCCGAGTTTTAAAAAAATGTGTATTAACCAAGGACCCAAATTTTATTTTTAGAATAACTTTTTCTACACATTACCCATTTACAGTATACAGTTAGATACGTATACTATGTATAAAATATAGTACTGATATTACTTACTACAATATACTACGTATGATGTCATAGAAAACACTACATTAATTATTGTACTGCAATTTTCTTGAACCTCAGACACAGCTGTTTGTATATCAGATTCCACTGAGCACACATGACAATATCGTCACCTGCACTAAGAAACTCTTCAAAACTAACATAAGGGTTTGCAATGTCTCGCAGACTACTCAATCAGGTGAAGTGATTAATCAGGTTGTCACCATTTAAATCATTAACAGGATTAGTATCTTTATGTCTCCAAGTTCTGCTAAAATAGGTCTGTATGTATTGTGATGACACAAATTTCCAGGGTGTGGTGATAGCTTTTATTGCTTCCACCTGACTTTAAATTAGTGTTTCCGTCTCCTTTTCAGTGCGAATTGCAGCTCTCACAAATCACTTATAATAAGACTTCTTCATTGGACAGTGTGGTAAAACACTAAAAATGTTCAGTTTTGTTCATACTGTAGATGTCACATGAGGCATAATTTTCCTCTCACTTGGTCAAACTCATGCAATCAGTTATTCGCTCATTGTTCATAAACTTTATTTGCTTCATCACAAATTATTAATGATGAAATCAAGTGTGTCTTTTGGAAGCGGTACAGCCAACCAACTGAACAACTGAAATCTTGAATGCCTAATTTTCTTGCAATCACATTTGCTTCTGACTACATTATAGGTCCATCTAAAAGTACACATATCATTGGACCATTTTAGAAGTAAAGTTTCGACACCTTCATACTTAGCATTGGGAAACTGCTTATATCTGTTCCAGAACTCAGATACAGCAGCACTAAGAATTTTTTCACGATCTTTATGTGTCGTGGATAAGGTATATTTGGTAGTTTCATATTTTTTGGAATTTGCACTTTTCTTCAATATACCATAGCTTACTTCCTTTAGGATTTTTGGTTTATTTGCAGATTTATGCTTGTCTTTTTCCTCTTGACCATCTGGCAATTTAACATTAGTTGTTGCATCCTGAAAGCTATAGTGCCATCTACAAATCTGTTGAACAGTGCCACTAGAACTCTCAGGGAAAGACATGTTGGTGTGCACTGAAAATTATTCATTTAGTATGCTGTGTCCTACTGAGTTTTATGAAGAAGAGAAGATGCTAACTTGACTCAGTGACCATTAGATGGTAAGTAATTTTATCTGATTCAAAATTAATTCAAAATTATTCAAGATTTAACATTAGTCATACTAGCTAACTTTTACAGAATAAAAAAACACATCTGAATACAGAACTGCATTTGTTGACTGAAACTTATTGTGAATGCAATGACTACGACTGTAAAGCAAGGTTTCTTGTGCTTACTATGTTTTAAAGAATACAGTGCATTCTGTGAAGTTTTCAGTTAAATGAGATGGAACATTTCTGAACATAATCCTAGCAGATAAACAAGAGGAAAAAATATGAAAAAATTCGAAAGTTTGTGTTAATGATAAAATCTAATGATGCAATGGACTAAGAAAAAAACAATTCATAATTCATGGTAATCAAAATTTGTGTTACTTGATAAAACTTCTTATAAGATCATATACAGTGCCACACTCATTTAACATGAACCAAAATTCTGTTCATGTTTAAATGAGTTCATGTTAAAGGGGGTTTACTATATGTATTATATCTAAGAAAATTCGAGAAAAACCTTTTCAACCAGTAACTAGCTAGAAGGCCTAATAATTACTTAATATATATATAAACTAGCTATAATGAGCTAAAAAGTAAAATGAAATGATTACAAAAAATGCATTCTTAATGAAAATATTTTAATTTGTAATCATACGTGTATTTTTTTCCTTATGCTACAAATTAAGACAAAATCTGTTTTAAATTTATAATCCAATAAAGAATAGCATGTCTTCAATCAAAACTGAATTTCTCAACTAAGCAAAGTAGTACTCACAGAATTTTAAGATACTGTTGAAAATTAATAAAATGTAAAAAATACCTTCATAAATTCCACTTTCTAAGAGATTTCCAGACCTCTCTAATGCCATAAACTCATCAACAGTAAGGAAAGTGTAATCCACGCCATTGATCTCCCCATCTCTTGGAGGTCTTGTTGTGCCTGGAATATAGTTATAATAATACACTGAATATCTGTAACTCAAATACTTTTTTAGCATAGCTAAGTGAAAAATAATTTCAAAATCCAAGAACACTGCTGATACTTTTTTTTTATTATTTTGGCTCTCAGTATTTTCACATGCCTGAAAATAAAGTGCCTTTTCATAGAGAAATGATATATTATATTACCTTCCTCATTCCTTACTGAATAAAAAAACTATTAATATTTAAAAAAGACAGTAGAAAATACGGAAAATACAATAAAAATATAGCAATAACATGTGAGCTACTCACTATTTTTTCATGAGAGAAAGTGACTATAATTAGGAAAGCTAGCCATTTAGTGATGATTTATAATCTTGTCCATATTTAAATAACAAGGGTCATAAGAGAAAGGAAGCAGAAATTAATTACAAAATATCAGATTAATGCTTGAAAAAAAAATTAAAAAAAAAAAAAAAAAAAAAAAAAAAAAAAAAAAAAAACAAAAAAAAAAAAAAAAAAAAAATAGCTCTATGGATAAAGGGACTTTTTTGCACACTAATAACAAAGAATTCCACATTCCTGAAACAAAGTACTACACACTTCAAAATTCTACACCTCCATATAAATTATTGTCATTTTAAAGCAATTCATAAACAAGTTTGCGGTGCTATTGCTAACATTATTTTTCAATACACATAATAATCAAAGCAACCTGAATTTTCAATCAACTCGCTTTAACCTCTTCGCTACCCACGTTTCGTATACAATACACTTCAGTTTGTCTTAGCAGGCCCATATCATATCAAATGTTATGGGTCACTGGACTATATTTTCATATTTGATATGCTGAATTGGAACATTTTATTTTACATTTTAAGATTTACATAAATGATGTCAGAATGCCATAAAAGCAAATAAATACAATGTCTTAAGCATTAAAGTTGTTGCTATGAATATTATTTATTATTTTATGCTATGAATCTAAAACATGCAATGCTTACAATGCACATTTCACACAGTGCAAGCAGCTTAAAATTTTATATATGAGTAAAAAATGTTAGAAAAGGCAAAGAGAAAAAATGTGTGTAACAAACAGTGTTTAAAAGTTTAACAATGTTTTGAGCTTTTTGGCTGAAACATTAAGTGAAAAGAAGTTTGATTAATTTCATACTTTTTATTTCGTTATTCTGCCCATTACTACCCAAAGTCTTACTTGTGTTGTAAAATAAAACAACAAAATAATTAGTCAACCTTCATTTAATCATTACTAATCAATTAATTTCAGTTAATCTTATCTGAAAGTCTCAAAATGTACATAAAATTTGATTTATTCGCTACTTTTTTATTCTCATTTTCACTGCCATGCCATTCGTACCAGAGCAACAATGGTGTAGCAGGGAAGAGATAGAGACATCTGTCCTCAGGGTACCTAACTGATGTTTCCCATTGCATTTGGGCAAGAAAGAGGTAGCATGAAATCATCAGTTGTTCCTAGGTGCTGAAAACCAGTTTCTTTATGGATATTTTCAATACGACACTTGAGATGAACATTTTTGACATGCAAATTTTTTTATGGGCTAATCCTTTAACTGAAGAAACTAATTTTATTTACTAATAAAAACATTTATTAAAATGTTAACAGTAGTATTTTTGAGTTTACTTTTAGAATTTCAAATAAAGAATTTAAAAAAAAAAAAAAAAACCCTTGTCCGGGAAAAAAAACACTGGCATGATTTAAACCCTCTATTAACAGTCATCAATTATCTCAGTTAGTTAAGATTCCAATTACCTTTGATAAACAAGGTTCTACAGTATATATAAAATTTGTTTTACTGTAAAAATATTATGAGTGTAAACATACTTTACAACTGCATTCAATAATTAAAAAAGAATACCGATAAAATAATATTTAATTTTTAATAAATCACTGGGAGCACAAAAATAAAATTTAGCATAAAAGAGAAGAAATATTTTTATAAAAAAGCATTTTCAAGAGACACGAACTTTTTCAAAGAAAATTTTTAAAAAATATGATTCTTACATGGCACTGTTCTAAGATATAAATTATCCCTGACTGTATTCTGCAATTCACAGTCTGGAGAATTCTTTGGAAATCTTGTATTTAAATGTTGGCGTAGATCTTTACCTAAAAAACCTGTAAAAAAAAAATCATAAATACCACGAATACAGCATATTTCATAATATAAACAAAACAATGTTAGAACACTGTTCCTCACATTAAAAAAATGTCTAAGCAGTTAATATTATTCAGAAGAAAAGAAATATAAGGTGCATAAAATATCAAACAGTATAAACGTAACTTTATCAAACGATCTTCATAGTATGCAGCTACAACGCTCAAATTTTGTCATTTTCTAACTACATACATAAATCGTATGTTTTTGTTTACAATTAGCGAACAATATTTACAACGCCATAAACTCTCCTACACGACTCAAATCATTCGCATTTTTGAGATAAAATGGGAAGTCGGACAGAACTTATCCCAAACCTTGGAAAATGGTTATAAAGACTAAAAGATTTCGAGGAAAAGCAAAGTCAAAATGAGCTACAGAAGGAGCGTTCTCCATCTCCTTTCTCCTCCCTTAGTTCTTGGAACACGATCTTGTAGCGGTTAAAGGGGAAAATATATGCAACTGACTTCGATAAACTTATAGGTTCTCATGCATTCAATTAACTTCTAAACTCGCCTACAGTGATTAAGCACCCTGAAATACATTTATACATATATGAATCGTGGAAATTAAACATTTCAGAAGAAAAATAAACTGATTTATCACTATTAATTTCTACAGTAACATTTAGTTTCTAAATTAAAAATTAAAACAACTAACCTTTCGCTTGCTTCTAAAAACTGTTTATATTTAAACACTTTTCTGATTCGTTGCTGCAGATTATAAATTAATGTACAGATTTAATTCATTTTTAACAGCAGCAGCTGTTAAAGAATAATCCCACACGAAAATTCTCTCAAATCTTTTCTAATTATTATTATCATTCATAAGAATTCGGTAATTTCAAATACATTCCCTCGGCGATCCTGGGAAATCAACGTTATAATGTATTTAGTAACAGATATAATGATTAAACATGTAACACAAGATGGAATTTAATTTAAAAGCATATAAAATCACGTATAAATGAGCACTTAACGAAATATTTTTGGAAACAATTTCGTAAAAGGATTTTATATTACTGAGTGGGGAAAAAATCACAGTCAAATATTACTTTATTAAAATTTTCAAGAAATACCAATATAACCAATGATGGTGGCGATAACAGATTTGAAAACTTCAATAATATTACATGCGGTTTACAAAAATTTTATTGTTACACATGGCAATAACAATTAATTTCTCCGGATATCTGTACCAAATACACACTACAAATAAATCAACAGTGTAAAAGATTACGAAAACACGCGATATTTATAAAACCGGACCAACAAATTTCAAAATTGCGGAATTCAGTTTTAAATGTTAACTGTAAGCTGCATTCATAAAAGAATAGAATTAGATGCAGGACAAAATTTAAAATTTTCTGGACTCTTTCATATAATAACTAATAATACAAAAAAATCTGCCTTAAAATTATTATTAATGTATTAATAATAATTCTGAATTACTCTTTATGTACTTAAATCATAACTTAATATATGGGTTTAATGAAATACAAATTAAAAAATACCATTTAGTTTATAAATATTTGTTTATTAACAGGATGCAAAAGAAATTTAGTAAATGTGACACATAATTTAAAATCACTAAATCTGAAATTCATTTAAAAAATAATTTGAATATATATATATATATACGAACAATAGTTCTGAGTTAACCCTTTTTCAGAGTTATTTTAATTCAAAACTAACAGAGGAGTGTTAGACAAGCTAGCTGTAGGGTCCAGGTGTACGGAATTTGCAGCGATCTTAAATTATTCAATAAACGCTTCTACTAAATGCGAAATAATTAACTTATTTTTTAAAGGTTAAGATTCAAAAGATTCTAATGACGAAAAAGACGCGAAGATTCGGATTTTTCGAATTTCGAATATTTTTAGATTCGCAAGACCCGTCAATAAAATATTTCTATATCTGTTAATTTTATAATCTGTATGACAGCTCTATGCAATGCTTTCCGATTTCATGCGATGTTTTCCTGAGTTAATTAGAAGTTTTTTAAATAAATTGTGAATTATTCATAACTACTTACGTTTCTTACTTACAAAAGTTTAAATTTCATGTCTTCATTAAATGCAAGTAAAGCACGAAAATGTGAATTTAAAATTAAGCAAAACTAAATCTAATACAAACACGGATTAAATGGCAAAACCAAATGGTTCGAGGGGGGGGGAAATGATATTACATGAACACAGAGTTAACCTCACGTGGGATGTGCACTTTTTCACACAGATAAGGTTTACTATTCAAACCAGCTGTGCATTTATTTTCACTAGTTCGGTTGAGCAAGAGACTTGCAACAAATATTTCGCCATAAAAATGGCAACACTTAATATACTGCTAGTACGCCAAAATCAGAGAAATGAAAACAATCAACACCACTAAGTTTTTTCCGGATGTTCAAAAAAATCATTTCAGCAAGTTAACCAAAAAGAAACATTTCCAGATTTCATATAAAAACGGTTTTATGAAAGAAGTTAGAAGGAAAATATTGATTCACAACTATACATATCTCCGCACTTACGTCGAAAAAATCTAAACATATCGTCAGTAAAACGCCGAAACCAGTGCTTCTGGATACATTTTGGAAATAATCGAGTTAATTTCACACAAAATGCGACTCTTTCTTCTGGCAAGGTATAAAACCGAAAAATATAGAGTTGAAAATGTGCTTAACAGCTAAAATAAAAACAGTAGATTCGCGGTTCTGGCGTGAGACATTTACTCAGGAAAGTTTAATTAATTTTAAATGACAGACATTTAATTTATCCAAAGAATTAAATGGATTAGTTCTCCATTTAATGCTTTGGATAAATTAAATTCTCCATTAATGGTAATGGAGAATATTACTTCAACACACACCAAAAAAAAGGCGCTGTAAGAAACACGTCTTTTTCCTAAGAATACAACAGGAACAGGATAATGAAATTTTCATCTATAAACAGTTTTAAGTGCAATAAAAAAAAAATCTTCGGTTTGGAGACGGTAAAATTATGATGGCGTTTTATTCCATCGAGCTACTGAACATGTCATTCACATCTTATTTTAATTTGTAGTTGGTTCCTCAGAGGTTCACACGGGGTGTCGTCTTCGCGAATGGGGATCAACAAAGAGTCGAGGCTCCAAAGGTCATTCAAGGAGGTCAGTGAAATTGCTATTTCCCACCAGTAACGCTGAGATTTAGTTTTAAGAGTCAAGCGCGTTGCTTACTACAATTCTAACGGTTTTTCCAAAGCCACCAATCCTCTCTTAACAAGCGTTATTTCTTAATGGACATAAAAAGAATCAGTGTTAAATGGTTCTTCCTTTTTGCCCCCCTCCCAACGCAGTTCGTCTTATCGCCGAACTGATAAAATTGCATTTCTTACTTCATTTTTTTTTTCATCAGATGGAAGAAGTTAGAACATTAAAGCGTTACACGAGAAAATACTTCTTTCAGATGAACTTTAAATTTATTCAAATAAAAGAATTACCAAATTAAAGTGCGTTATGTTATCTGTTATAATTCTTCGAGAAAAATTATTCGACAAGCATAGGAGACGTGGTTTGATTCAACCAAAATTATTATAAATATAACCAAAATTATTGATTCAACCAAAATATATTATATGGACCAGAATCACCTATACCAAGCAGTAATACGGAACAACTCGGTTACTGTCGTTGATTTCGCAGATTTTTTATAATATAAAATAAATATTGATTGAAAACCAGTATTTTAGCACTTGAAAGTACTTTATATTGCAGCAAGTCCTTACAGTTCATCATATCAATGCTGCTACGGTAGAAGAGGGCGACCTCTTTCAATTAGCAATTATTATCCGCATGCGTGGGTTCTTTAAACTGTCATCACCTCGGCAATGTCATATAAGCGCAAAATCACCTGCATAAATGATCTATATACGCAATAAATTATGTGTTATTTTATAAAGACATAATATAAATTTTTTTTTTTTTTTTTTTTTTTTAAATTCTACAAAACTACACAACAGTTGTATAAGCGTAACAAAATTTTGCGAATACTGACCTTTACGAAAATTCAGAACAAAAAATAAAATTTTAAAAGCACAAACATTTCCATTCAGAGTTTTTACTTCCTGTACGAAGTAAAAGGAAGTATTGTAATCGCGAAAAGCTTCAGGCAGCATATTTCAACGAAAATATCCACTTTGGACCGCTTTCGATGCAGTTTGCAGTTTAACGATTTTTTGCGTGATATCTGTACGTAAGGAGAATAAAGACTCTTTTTCCTCCATAAAAACTAAACAACTGCTTTAAAATGAATTCTGAAGAGAATTTTTCGTGGCGCTGTACGAACGTATGTCGTAACGTGGCATCGTACGTATCTCGCATAACTCAAAACGAGTAGCCTCAGAACGTTGAAATTTTGTATATAAGGCTACTATAACATGTAGATGTGCACCTCGTATTTTGGTTTCACTCGGCCGCGCCAAACGTATATAATAATTTATAAATATATCCACTCTGTTCCCGGCTCAGTGATCTGCTTCTTTACTCTTATAGGTTTGTAAATTGTACATTTTTTTGCTTTTGTTGAAAAATGATTGTTAGGGTTTTGTTTTTTATTTTTAAATTGTATGCAATATTTTTTAGAATTATCAACAATTTTAAATTTTTTTAAGTGCCGCTAAGCCTAATTTGATGGCGGCCCATTGCTCTTGTTACATTTGAACAGCTGAGTAGCGGATTTTTGCCAATCTAGAGAAATTAGCTTTGCAACAACAAAGATAACGCCTTCATTTATTTTTAAATCATGCTTACTCCTTTCTTTCGAGGGAATTTTTTTTTTTTAACTTTTTATGTATTTTTGCCTTGTCGGAAGTGAAAACTGATTTAATTGAATGAGAAATACTCAATCGTGTGAAAAACTTTTCTTTCTTTTTTTTTTACTTAATTTTTTTAATACATAGTTCTAGCTTATTAAGTATTTGAATAGAATATGGGGCAACGATTAGATAATTCTTTTAAAAGATATAATTTATGCATTCTGAGTTAACCAAAGTGAATTTAAGAATGCATTTATTCTATTGGGTTTTGCGCTGTTGGCGAAGTAGGTTTAATTAAAATAATAAAATAAAATGCAAGAAAATTATAATTTAATATTCCGTACAAGGAAATCATG